TTTAGGTTAAATAAACTTAAACTTACCACAAACAAATGCGATTATATTGTCGCCATAATTAAATCGAACCATATCACCTTTGCCATCGTTAAAGTATGTAACACCGTCCCAAGCTGTCAGAACGACACAATCATATCCACCGTCCTTAGAAATCCATTCAATACAATATTAGTAACTGGATAATTTCACGTAATTTATGTATAAATTCTGTCAATCAGTAGAAATTAAAAGTGTTATATCATTTAGAGTAACAAAATTACCATAAGATCTAGTTTATTAAGAGCAAATAGTTGATGAGTGACTTGTCCAGACCAGATAGGCTTATAGAACTGATCACACAATAAAATATCTCCTTTATAAAAATCAAATAAAATCATAGTTAGCGCCTTATAACGATGTTGTCAAACTCACAGTCAGTTATGTAATGCGCATCGTAAAACTTTCATAGATACGAGTATAGTGAATTACTTTACATATTAATCCAAATTACCGTTTAACGTGCATAAAGCTTTCAATTCCTTTACTCCATCATCGGAATCTGTCGGGTTATAAGGAAAGATAAGGTAGGAATCACACAGATTTTCAGCTATAATTTAAAAAGGAATATCTTTGCTTTCAATTAAATAAACCAATTAGTTTAACTAACTTATTTTAATTCCATTAAGAAACTGCGTCATGGTGCTGGTGGTCCTACAATTGGACAATGAACAGTATTCGACAGTACTGTCGTTTCTTGACATTACTCTGCTCTCACTAGGGTTTCTAGTTAACACAGTAAGTATAACAGTAATATTAAGTCTTTTTAGCAGATATGACAAAATTCTCACCTGATCGTTAAATGAGGTTATGACGAAAAATTTTTACTAATTTACTTAAAACTGTGGGCACTGCTTTCGGATTCACTGGCTTCCATATACTTTGTGTCTTGAAAGAAACTCTTTCCAAACGATCCTACAAGATCCTCCACTAGATCTGTAGAGATATCAGAACTTATAGATGTATTTTTTCCTTCTAACATTAAGTAAGCATATGTACAATCTGGCTGTGATGCAATCAGGTAATATTGATTATCCATCGATGTAGCTGACGCTATTGTCTCTATCTATTAAGTATTTATATAGGAATTTGATTGATCATTCGAATAGTACATGGTCTTTTAGTAATTCAACGTATTAGTAACTATTTTACCTGCCCCTTTAGAGACCATTTATGTAAAAGTGTTAACTGCGATGAAGTTGATTGGATGCCTTGCTCTTCATTTGACAGCGTCACTGGTGCATATCTATACAATCTCACAACTCTATCTACGTAAGCTACAGCTAATTCTTGTTTTCCGTCGCCGTCTGTCCAAGATAGAAAAAATTACATAATGTCAATTAAAATCAGTAGTTCAAGTTATAGTTTCTTTAAATTGCTTTTTGGTATTTACCAATATCTCGTAAAAGCAAAACTTTGCTATTGGCTAACATCCGTTGAGTAAATAATAGCTTGATAGATTTATCTTCTTTCTGTTCATCCTAATTGATAATAAGTAGTACTGTAGTCTCAAACAGGGCTACATTCGTCAATTATTTATATAACTTTACAAAGGAACACTCATTGAATTCCTACTTTTACCCCTTGATGTCCAGAGCAGTCAAAGACTCGACATAAGCCAGCGGCATTCATGCAAACTAAATAATTCTGTTTATTTATTAAAAGAATTGATGTCTATTGAGTGGAGAATCAGAGTCTTGAACATTTAATAGAAATATTCATTTGGTCCAAAGATGTAGTAGCGGGTGTAACTTGTAATAATTGCTATTTACTACGGTAGAATACTTGCAGTTGTTAACATTACCTTTCCTTTATTCAAAATGTCCCCAATCGCAAGACAAGTGATCTAAAAATAGGATAATTTACTTTTCAGATTAATAGTCCATCCTAAGATAGCATCATTAGATTCAATTGATATCAATACAATTACTATAACGTATACGTGATTATCATAAATATTGATTAAATGATATAGAAGCATACAAAATAACCGCAAGTCTTATAAACACAATGTTAAAAATGTGTTGACAACCATTAAATAATTGTAGCAACTTTGATCACAATAAATTCTTTGTATTATTATAGTTGAGTACATAGGACAGTGTTGTATCTTGCTTGAATCATTAGTGAGTTCACTCACAAATCCTAAACAGATTTTAGCTATTTCGTTACGTTGTTGAGTGAGTAGATTTGTAATATTATATTTGTTATTATATACTCGTACTTTTATAGTGGAGTGTTATAGCGATGATATAATGGTTCATAATAACATTGATTTATACTGTTTGTCAGGTAATCAAGTAGTGCACATACGAGTTGAAATCAATAATCGAAGTGATTGGATGTACAGTAACTTGCGTTAACCTTTTATTGCACGCAACTATTAACTGTATAAACGGCTTTTTATCATTTTATGATTAAATAGACGCCAAGTTCAGAATGCAGTTGTATGAATTTATAAACGTAATAGTATGTATTCACAGTAAATAGTAACAAATGCAACTATTTATCCATTTTATGCACAATTATCTCAACATGGTGCAATACAGCGTTCATAACTATTACCGTTCCTAATCCGGTTGCTCGTTTCCAATAGGGTAGTATATTGCCTTTCTTAATCTCCAGCACTCCATGAATATTGCCGATCGCTAATTCATTATCCTGCGAATAAGTACAGGCAACTCAGTACAGTTTGATTACAATATGGTAATGCTGCAGCTATTGACTACGATGCATTTACACCTTTATTTCAGAATCGAATATACAAATGTAGCTTTATTACAGAATCATAACGCTACAGGTGTTCATTATGATGAGTTTATATCGTTATTAAATTATACCGTCACTTTATGCGTAAATGATGCGGTAAAGCACGGGAAGCAGATCTATAATTGGAACACTTACTGTAAGATACGATGCTATTACCTAACTAGCACCATCCTGATGGTGCCTGTGTCAAACGATGGTAAATAAACTATCCCTATAATTGCATCTGCCAATCGATTGTAAATAAGTTGGAGAAATCAAATACGGAATCGAGACAAACTAGCAACATTGTAGACGGTACCGCGTTCAATCGATCATCCATGTAAACAAAGGGACCAAATTACTGAATGGACATTAAGATATCGTATTAACTAACTAGCACTATCCTAATCGGTGCCATTATTATCAATCCGATCATTCATGTCGACAAATTGGAGAAATCAAGTGCAAAATAGACATTACCGTACTTTAAAGATACAGTAGTTAGCAAACCAATACTATCCTCGTAGAGGCGTTTCAACCGATTGTAAACAAATTGGAGGGTTCCACTACAGAATCGATATTACAGTAACTAGCACATCACCGCTAACGATCGTTTATAGAAACAAATTCAAGAAATCAAATGCAGAATCGATCAACACCAAATATCCTAACGCTTCCTTCATGAATCGATCATTTATAGGAATAAATTGAAGAAATTAAAGACAGAATGAACATTTTAATTCATTCATAGATTAATTAATTCTTGTATTCAGTTGGATATTTTTGACATACGTACACCATCGTTACCGACATCTCCTAATACAACAGCTTGGGGGAAAAGATTGCCGGAGAAACTAAAGCTTAATTTCTCCACGAATGAGGCAGCATTCATATTACATTCGTTCGTTAATGAATTGATCAGCTCTTTTGATTCGTTATAACTGTAAATCCAGGCTAGAATTCAAGTAGAACCATAGCTTGTTGCCTTTCTAATCGCATTTGAGCTCGTCTCGTTTAGAGATACTTTGACAAGTCGCAGCTTGAAACAGAGATCGAAAGTATTACTTTTGACCAAAGTAGTTTCAATATTGTCCTTCTACTATAGAGTACAGTAGAAGAGCAGTAACTAGGCCACAGTATACAGTAGTAGAGACTGTAGTGTACAGTACTACAGACTGTACAGTACTATACAGTACTGTAGACTTACGGCTGTTCACAATAGTAGTGAGCTGCTTGTGTAAAACAAGTGTCGAAAGCTTCATCAGCTTTCGACCTCAAGTCGCAGCTTGAAACAGAGATCGAAAGCAGTACTTTTGACCAAAATGGTTTCAGTATTGTTCTTCTACTATACAGTTACAGTAGAAGAGCATTAACTAGGCCACAGTGTACTGTACAATAGTAGAGACTGTAGTGTACAGTACTACAGACTGTGCAGGACTACTGTATACTGTACTGTAGACTCACGGCTGTTCACAATAGTAGTACTGTAAGCTGCTTGTGTAAAACAAATGTCACAAGCTTCATCAGCTTTCGACCTCAAGTCGCAGCTTGAAACAGAGATCGAAAGTAGTACTTTTGACCAAAATGGTTTCAGTATTGTCCTTCTACTATACTGTACAGTGTACAGTAGAAGAGCATTAACTAGGCCACAGTGTACAGTAGTCGAGACTGTAGCGTACAGTACTTTAGACGATACTATTGTACTGTAGTCTCACTGCTGTTCACAATAGTAAGTAAGCTGCTTGTGTAAAACAAATGTCACAATCTTTATCAGCTTTCGAAGTCATTTACACTAAAACGTCAACACTTAAAACGACATCTGCTTTACACATTGGCATCGTGTTTAGTATAACATAGGCGCCGGAGCCGATGCACGTGTGCCTACAGTACTGTGCACAATGAAATGACTGAATAATCATCTGAGCGTACTGTAGACTGTACGATTGACAGTATACCTACTGGTACAGGCTGCTAAATCAATACTATACTTGTTAGTCAGATTGGCAATAGCTTACTACTGGACACGCAAAAGACAGCAAGAGAGGGACGCTAGCTTGTCGGTACAGTACACTACTGTATCGTACTACTGCTCAAGCCTCAAGCCTTGAGGCCCTTCACTAAGGCCAGACGTCCAAAAACTATGGCGGCGGGATTAGCCTAGCTAAAGAAGTTGTTCAATTCTCTTTTCAATCTTCTCTACTTTCGTCCTTGCCAGCACTATTCTACAGTGAAAAAATTGAAGAATAACTAGAAATATCGGGCAGTATAGAAACTATTCAGAAACGACAATGACTTACTGCCTTCCACCGCATTTATCGGCCTTCTTTACACCCAAGGAACCGATCAAGTATTTGCCACCTTTAGATACTCCATCGCATTTACGAAAAAGAAGGCCTTATACTGGTGTTAGTGTTTTCCTATCGCAATTTGAGGTAAGATACCTGCTAAAAGTTAGCTTAAAACATGGTGATGTCATTACACTTGGTAGACTAATGTCAAATTGATTGGATCGACGATGGTAGTCGATCGAAACAGGAATAGACTTGAAATAATGACTAAATGACACCATACGCATTTACTGAACTGTAATATTTGAAATTGACAGACTGTTCGAAATAGTGCTCCCAGTGTGGTTACGGAAACAAGAGAAGAGAAGAGAACGCGCCAGGTCAGATATCTTGAGCTAGACATAAACGATGGTTGTATTGCTTGTTTTTTTACATAGGTGTAAAATAATTATAGAGAGCACGATTGAATATAAGCGTTGAAGTCTACTAGTCTAAATCAGTAGCATACTTTACATACGTGCAATAATAAATTTCACATTTTTAAAGTCAAGGGATTGCTTCAACTGAGATTATATCGAAAAGTTGAAATCAAACCTACTCTACACATACAGTGTTAAGATCAGTTGTACTATTGATGCGACTACAGCATTACCAATAAATTATATATATACGCGTATGTCTAATTGTGATTTGATACAGTTTATACTGTATCTGTTGACGTACTTTCAAGCATCTAGCATGCGATGCGTCCAACTTGATATTCACATAGTATGCAATGCATTTCTATCGTACTGTGAATTAAAGCTCTCATTAAAATGATTATACGGTCTGTTTTTATATCCACTGAATTCTAAATATGTCAAGAGATGCTTGCTGATATTCAATAATAATACGTTATGTCTTTTGATGTAAAGTCCTTTCCTACTGTTGTATTAATTAGAAAAAAGAACGCTTGGATAAAGTATCAGCAAAACTACAAAAGGATTTAGCACAATGTAAGAAAATTGAATTCTTATAGACCTTGTACGAAATGGGACTATCTATCACCACTGCAATAAATGCATGCCGTTCCACAATGACAATCTTGTATCAGCGATGGTCTTTACATTCAGATTTTTCAACTCATTTCTATACTTATACTATGTTGCGTTTAGGGGATCCTCATAACAATCCTAAAGGTACAGAAGATCCATTCAAGACTTTGCTAGTTTCAAGATTGGTACGTAAAAAAGAGTTGATATAGGAATATTACTGGGCGATTAATCGCAATGATGTTGTATGAAATTTTCCAACATAGATAAAGTTAAATACTCTATGCAACATAATTCAATCTAGAAAGCTTGAAAGGTTATCGTAATTTGATTTTACAGAGTTATGATACAACTGAATCAAAGCTAAGACGTGAGCTAGAAGCCTACGGCAGTGTCAAGTCTGTAAGTCTAATAATACGTCCAGAACATATATTGAGTGATATCGTGATACCTAGAACTTATCACGGTGAAACATGATTAATTTATAAATATACTGTACTTCATGTATCAAAATAATCGATAGTCAGTCTAACGACAGATGAAAGGGCGTATTTCAATCTCAGCTATAATTGGAAAATGCTTGTAGAGATAATTTGCTAGTGAATATTATACTGTAAAAATACCACAACATATTGTAATAAGTAATTTCCTTGCTACAAAGATATGCATAGTGAACAATGATGAAATTTTTGCCATCTATTGCTGGTTATTGTTACAAGTTTCAATCAGCAATATGAAGATGTGTTATTCACACTGTCTGATTTCACTTAGCCATCGCATAATCTTAATGTCTATCTTGAACAATAGTAATGGATAATAAAATCATCAGTGTTACGTGCTATAGTCAATTGTAAACTGTTCGTGGATCCTATAACTAATGTAAATTCTTGTATGCTGCCATTTTGTTACAATACTTATAGGTACGGTCGATATATGATCTTTCTGGTAAACCAAAGGGGTATGCTTTTGTAGAATTTGAGCATGAGCGAGATATGAAAGGTGAGCTAGAATGCATCGATTAATAATATAAGTATGAATAACTTTTAGATCTTTGATTAAATTTTGTCCTTATAATGCTATCTACTCTTCATCGTGCGTCCTTGTGAGTTATTTCAACGAAGACGGTGATACGTATTTAAGTATTCGATCAATCTTTTGATCGTTGTATAGGATTATTAGTTCTGAAGTGCGATATCATAATCTCGAATACAATATTTAGGCCAATTACGTAATATAATACAAATTTGCGATTCGCAATGATCCGTTAAGAGTCCATATACGCAGATATATACTATTTTGTCAGCATATTTCACGTATGTAGTAGATTCGTATGCATAAAACTACCTATCTATTAAAACTGACTAGTTTGGTAAACAGTACTTGTAGTATTGGCTGCATCGCCAGTTATAAGTATGAACGTGCAAACGTGAATGGAAATTTTTTTATTCTCGTTAATAGTCTATTTATTATTTTGAACATGGCGAATTTGTATACTACTTTGTTTATGTACCTTATTTGCATCAATTATATCTGCTTTACGAAAGTTTTTATGTACTCTGCAGAACCTTTGTATAAGTAAAAAATCAGTTATCATCCAAGCGGTAGGCATCCATATAGCATTTATAGTATATAATAAGCTTTGAGGCTGTAGACTCCTACACAACAGGACGTTCTTTATCGTTGGGTTATGGCGTGAAAAGATATGTTATAAATCATGGTAGTATTATATAAGGTATAAACAGTGATAGAGGTAAATTCCGGATCTGCATAGACTCTTAAGGTTAAATTTTAATTGATACAACCACATCCAGCAATGCGGATATACAATATTGATTCGCAGCTCTAATGGTTTAATGCAAAAGTTCGTCGGGATCATTCACATACTAGATTTTGGCTTCGTACCATCGTTTTGTACCACGCTACTTATAATTCAACTTCCGTGTTATATTGTTGGTGTTGGTAAATTTTTTATTCTAATCATTGTAAAACTGTATAATAAATTGTTAATGATTACCGTAGCTGCGTATAAATACGCTGATGGTAAGAAAGTAGATGGACGGCGAATACTAGTGGATGTGGAGCGATCGCGCACTGTCAAGAATTGGCTACCTAGGCGACTTGGTAAGTGCAAAAAATTTGCATTCCGAAAGTTTGTAGAAAGTGTAGAATAATGCAACAGAAATATAACAATGTTACTATAGTGCGCATTGTTTTGCTAACGCCTGACATGTAATTAATAGGAGGTGGATTAGGAGGTACCCGTCTAGGTGGTGAAGATATCAACGTCAAGCATTCAGGGCGTGAAGAAAACAGAATGGATGATAGGTACTTGCTGCAATGCATTCTTGAATTAGAATTGGTAGTAGCGATATAGTTGTTATTTGTCTAAAATTGTGCTTACCTTGCAGTAGAGTTGGAGGAGATCGTAAAGTTTCACCTGATCGAGGTCTAGATAGGGATAGAAACAGAGATAGACGAGACAGAGATAGAGGAGACACAGAGAGATACAGAGGCAGAGATAGAGACAGGGATCGTGAAAGAGATCGTGATCGTGATCGTGACCGATATCGACCCAGATATGATGATCCAAACAGTGGCTATCGTGGTAGAGGTAGGGATTACAGAGATCGAGATCGAGAAAGAGACCGCAGAGATAGAGACCGTGATAGAGACCGAGATCGAGGTAGAGATAGGAGACATGATAGATCTAGGTCCCGAGAGCGTCGAGATTACGATAGAAGAAAAGATGTCGAAAGTGGTGAAATTGTTGAAGATATATAACTTTGCTGTGGTTGAGCAAGTTTTATTGTTTCATCGTAATGATTACATGGCAATGCAAATACTAGCTAGTGCACATATCATCAGTAGTATAATTCATGATTATTATTTTCGACCTATTTCTTGCAGTAACGTCAAGAGTCTTTGAACAGCTTAAAATCGTATATCAGCTTGCAAGTGTATATCGCAATATATCAGCTAAAAATAGCCTGTTATGATCTTCAATGACTTTTGGTCATTTATGCCTTTACTTACCATATTCTCTTCTTATCGCCTTCATAGGTTAGTTTGATAAGAAGTGTTTGATTTGGAATTTTGCACTCTATAGTGATAAAGTACGTATTGACAAATTTATTCTTTCATCATTGAATTAAGACCTCAAGTTGTAAGTATAGTGGTAAGCTGATGGAGATATTACACGACGTACAGATTAAAGCTGTTACACAGTTGTTAAGCTACCATTACTATCCTAACAATTCCTCTTACAAATTTGATAGTGAGATAAAAATAACTGTAAATTATAATTAGTATTGTACATTAACTTGTACTGTACTGCCTAAGAAATGGGCATTCGATATGTTTCTGAATCATCGGTTTTACTTGTGCTGAAGTGCTTCATTCCGCTAGAATGTTGGAGTATTTTGTATCGAATATTCGTTTTCCTATCCCATAAAGCACATGAATAAAAATATTCCTTCGATTTATGTGAAAAACTCAATTTTTGGTAGTAATCATGTCATGAATAGCTGATTTAACTCTGCATTAAAGACATTTATTCCTAGACTAGTTAATGCAGTGCTACTTATAGCCACTGAAGTAATGTAGAATACTGTTATTACTTTATACTATAATCTCAATGATTGAGATTGGTACGTGAACATGTAAACGACAAGCGGTAAGATTAGTATCAATTTAATAGTACATATCGCGCTGTAAATTTTAATCGATTTTCCGACATGATGAACGCAAGCGGCAGTCCTAGGCTATAGCAGCCATGATATTTTCCAATAATACAAGTACAATTGCGAGTATGTCCAACAAGGTGCCAATTGTACGTCTATAAATTATATCATGGAATGAGTGAGAGGCTGCAGGTAAGATTGAAAGTTATCCCCGTACTTTACGCTACTGCTAGTTACTATTCACAATCTGGATAGTAAAGCTCTGGCATGGACTACTGGATATCTAGTTGGCCATGGCACTTGTAAGCTGGAGTCGTTTCCTTTCTCTACATTACTGATATGTAACTCAGATAAGCTGTGATGATAGATTCCTTAAGCTAAAGTACTGGGTCTGCAAAAAAATAAAGTCAAAATGCAGCATAGTAATGCTTAGCTCTAGTACAAGTACTACAGTGCTCCCTCTACAAGACCCACAGCACCTGAGTTTTAATTCTATTTATATACTTATCGACCGCTGTGTACAACTGGAAGCCACAAATAGTTGGAGTCCTTGGATTTATATAAAGATATTTTTCTAAATCATTTTCACCTCTCACCATGAAAAGATGATTATAATTATTCATAGACACTAAGTGTCATTACCAATATGTTTAGAAGGTGAAATACTGTAGTACTATAAAGTAAAGCGCTATAGCAGGCTATATCTACGTGCGCAAATAAAATCAATTAATCCAAGATGAATTTGATAAAATTGGACCACTGTGAATGGGCCAACAGCAGTACAGTATACGTAAGATCAGCTTAAATTATTCATTTTAGTAGTGGAATCCTATACTATTTCATTTTATTATATAATTTTGGATTACAGTATATAATTCGCTTGTCGTCTCTAAGTGGTTCCACACAATTCTGTAGAATTGAACGAACACCTGTATGCTACGTCGTGATTTTACGTAAAGTGTTACAGTCGAGTAGTCACATTACCAATGCCTAACTCGGAATAAAGGACGAATATGATTATAGTAAATCTAATGAATATCCATTGGCAGCAAATGAATCCCTCTTGTAGACGCTAGATCTGTCCCCTATGTAAATGATTTCAGTTAATTATGGTATAGTAATGGCATTACCAATTTAGGAAGCGCCAATGTTACTGGAGTAACATTGATTTTTACTACTATTTATTTAATACCCATTGGTTGCAAATGAACTCTGTTGTCAAGGTGAATTGAGTGCCATTGGATAACTCGGAAAATCCACCAACAACATGACAATATCAAATCGCAGAGACTACTCAAGACAAAATTCTTAATTCTAATTATAAACTCCATTAGAACAGGATTGAACTTTCAAGTAATTGGGGGATTACAATTTAGAATTTTGTATTTAGTAGTGGCAGTCAAATCGACTTGTTCATTTTGGTCATTGAATCCTTCTTTGTTCTTCTAGGTTGTATATAACAAATACACTATATACTATATATGTGACACGTGTACACTGTACACTAGTTTGCCTTATTAAGCAAAGTCAAGGGCAAAGAAAGAGTCAATCAGTATGAAATCGATGCACTTCATCGACAGGGCTGTGTATTGTTGGCGTTCATTAGGGGGGGGGGGGGGATTCATTATCAGTTATTTATCACCTACTCGAACAATGACTATTGTCCTGTGTGACGTAACAGCACCGTGCGTCAACACTGTATGTACGTCAGTACAAGCAGAGTTGACCGCAATCCTAAAAGGGTGTGCGTAGCGAGACGAGTACCGAAACTGTCGGGACGAGTACTGAAACTGTCGTGATGGCCTATACTGGAACCTACATTGAGGCCATACCGAGTTAGCTTTGCTAGAAAAGAAATAGTACTGTACTGTACTGTACTGGGAGGAAACTAAGAGACCTGGGATGTGATCCATCTTTGTCAATTGAATTAGTAATCACAGCCATCAAGCTGAATGGGAAAAAAAGGCTAATTGAGTATTAATAATTAAGAAAAACTCTTTCCTACTTCATTTTTGTACAGGCTATTCAAAGAAAAAAGTATACAAGAAGGCTAAGGAATCATTTTTCAAAGACATGTCCAGCCAGAAAGGGAGTTGTGATCAATATTTTGACGCTTTTCAGCAAGCGTCTACATTAACCGATACATTAGATCATTTCCAACGATTATGCCAAGAGTTAAAATTACACAATGATCATCTTCGCCCATGTCGCCATTTCTACAATCAATTGAAGAAAAAATTAACCAGTTGGAAGTGTACTGCACTATGGAATAAGTATGATAAAAAAATGGCTGATCGAGCTATTACTGGAGCTAAAAATACTGCCAATACCCACGTCTTAATTGTTGGTGCTGGACCTGTTGGCTTAAGAGCTGCTATTGAATGTGCTATGCTAGGGTGTAAGGTGGTTGTTGTCGAGAAAAGAAATCATTTCAGTCGCAATAATGTCTTGCATTTTTGGCCCTTTATTATAAGTGATATGAAATCGTTGGGCGCTAAAACTTTCCATGGTCGTTTTTGCTCAGGATCCCTTGATCATTGTAGTAAGTACCATAGACATATTAATTAACTTAATGCCACCAATGCAATAACGACTCTCTCTCTCTCTCTCCACACGCTTTCCTTGATAACCTACATGCTAAAGGCGTTGCTTTGCTAATACGTTTGTACTATACATGTACAAGTACGATCAATTGGGCAAAACTTTTTATCACTTGCAATATCATTTCCACTTAATAGATAGCAATCATGACCTGTTGTTAATAGGTTTAGTACAGTCTAATTTGCCCTTCGATATAAGCCAAAATGGCATTTTACCACACCTTGTACCTTAAACTCATTACTGTCAACTGAACAAGTCATTGCGGGATATCTCATAAATAGGTGGAATGCTAAAGGCATATTTCATCAATCGACTAGGGAGTACTCTTCATCACTTGCTATATCCTTTCCACTTGACAAATAGCAACAATCATCTCTATCAAACAAATTGATCACATACAAAATGAGTCAAAATATCATTCTACTACATGCTGAACCACTGGCACGATCTCCTTTACTGCTGTAGCGTCGATAGTAAAATTATAATTAAGACGTGTATACAGAATACGATCGTATTTTCACAATTGGATGATTTGACAGAAGTAAAACTTCTGTATTATAGCATATCATTGATTGTATTTTAATTCGATTCTAGATACGACTGTCACCGATATCGGTATAAAATAGTAAAATTGATCTACAACAAGAGTGAAATGTTACCATAATCATTACGGACTACTATGCTACATGTTTACGGTTAACTAATATGCGTATACTGAATAGTGTCCATACGTAGTTTCACCATTAGCAGAATATCCATTATACTATACTGTATTCATTAATTAATTCGACTTTATCATCGGTTGTGGCGTCATTTGCATTTTATGAACAGGAATAGATTCATCTATTTTTATAATTTGGAATAGTATAATTTATTCTACGGTATGATTAAACGAGTTATTGAAGTACCTTTTAAAATTATTCCTATGGAAATAAATAATTTACCAGTATACTACAGTAACATAAAACTTTATTTGTACCAGTAAAATATAAAGTAGTCTTTGTCCTGGATTTGAGTGTTACTATAAATTCAATTCAATAGTAGTTGTAACGACAACGTTTATTGTTCAAGTGTGTTGTTATACTTTAATCGACTAACACTATATTGGTATTACCTGGATCAACAATGAAGCAGTTGATTCACTTTGCTTAGTGCCGACAACAACACAACAGTAATAGATCAGATTGTCATCAATAACCCACGGACAAAATCCCTTCTTTCCATATTATTAATATTTTTCACTGTTTGTATCAATTGTGTGCGTATAATTATAATTTTAAAATTTATTCAATTTACCGTATCTACTATAGATCAAAGATGTTTCTACATAACTGCAGCTTGAAGCACTGCCAGTATTTTTTCTTATTTATAATAATTCAGGTGTAATAGTTTTAGATCTGATTTAGATATTGTAATGGGTCAGATTATCAACACTTACAAGTAAATTTAATTTATCTAGTTACTGTATCAAAGATGTTTCCTTCAACATAACAACAACTTGAAATAGAAGTAGCATATTTTCATTTACTGAAGTGTAATACTGCAGTTTACCTTATCAGGGCGATATGAATTTAAAGAAATTAATCAGGTTCCAAATACGATATAACAATATTGACCAGAATAAGCAGATTGATAATATAATTATTCATTAACTATATACTATAATTGTTATTACTATTACACCTACTAGTACAGTAACTTTGTTTATTGTTAACTGCATACTGTAACACTGTACAACCCGGAACCTTCTTTTACAGAAAGTTAATTTCATTATATCCAAGTGAAACTTGTCATTCATATTGAATCACTTTTGCTTTACTATTGTGTAATATATTATGCATTTCCCTTTCAACTTACCACAAATAGCGATCAAATGATTGTAGAGCAAATGTTTTTATGTGCCAAGTACGTATAACTGCCGGAATTATTTCCTTAGAAAATATGGCATTGCTTAGATTTGTATCGATCTTATTTTTCTTCACTACTTTAGTTGTTAACCCCATCGACAATTGATTGATCTACATAATACGCATAGAGTTACTACTACCGCAGACATTACTAGTCGCTGATCACAAATTGAAAATATATAGATTACACTCTGATGTTAATAATTTCTCTTTTTATTAGCAGCGATGACTCTTTTCTAACATAACTAATGTGCCGTTCCTTATAGGTATCCGTCAGGTACAGTTAATCCTTTTAAAAATTGCTCTTCTACTGGGAGTCAACGTCTTCATTAATGTAACATTCAATGAAATGAGACAGCCAACCGATAAAAATTTAGGTAAGGCGACTGGGTAATAAATTAATGTCAGCCAATACCATGTAAACTAAATATAAGCGTTTTATGATCGTCTTCTGTAATTTGTACTGAAAATCGCGATGGATTGTAGACAACCTTAATAATTATATATATATAGTCATATTAGTAACTGTAATTCAGTGACGTATCTAACTTGGAACTTTATACCTTTAGTTTGGACAGCTGATATTACACCAGCTGATCATATCATCAATAAATATCAAGTCCACGCTTTAATTAATGCCGAAGGTTGTAGAACAAGATTAGCAGGATTTCATCGTAAAGAATTTCGCGGTAAATTAGCAATTGCCATTACTGCCAACTTTATCAATTATCAAACAAAAGAAGAAAGCCGTGTGGAAGAAATAAGCGGTGTTGCTTACATTTTTAATCAAGGCTTTTTTAACGATTTAAGGAATAGTAAGGGTATCGACTTGGAGAATATCGTTTATTATCGAGACAATACTCATTACTTCGTGATGACTGCTAAAAAGAAAAGTTTACTCTTAAAGGGAGTTTTAAAAGCTGTAAGTATCTTTTAAAATAAATTGTTTAATTGAAATCTGCCTAGGTAAATAATACAGATACTAATTTGATAAAAACGTCAGTAAACCTTATTTATTATATGCTGCGTACTTACGACGATCGTAATTTCTTAATAGCATTGTAGTGCATCATAACGTATAGCATGTACACGCTTGATCGTTAAACCAAAGAAATAGAAATATTGTACGCGTACACTCACTGCACAATAAAGAACTTAAAAAGATATCTGTAAATCTTACCTGACATATTCACTTGTAAACGTAGAGTACTGTAGCTGTACGATTATTGCCGGCGATATTCTATAATTGTTTGTAGCACCTATTAGTAATTTATTACATAGGTATTCAACAAGTACTACAGTAATATGAAAATCAAAGCAATTAACAAACATGCCTATAGAATATTACAATTATCGAGAATTGATAATCTCTCTTTCTTCTAATTTGGACAATTTGATAGGATTATTCCGACGTCAATAAATTGCTATCGACAGAAAATATCGATCAGATTGCATTGCAAAATTACGCTAAACAAGCTGCTGACTTCTCTACCCGATATCAATTACCTAAGCTAGAATTTGCTCTAAATCATTACAAAAAACCAGATGTAGCGGTATTTGATTTCACTTCCATCTATGCCGCTGAACATTCCTGTAGAGTAATAGAAAGGAAGGGCCAACCATTATTAATGCAATTAGCTGGCGATGGCCTGCTCGAAGTAAGCATTATAATCTTAATAAACCGATTCATGTGTAAGTAATTAATTTATTAGCTTGTGAATGAAATAAGGCTTATGTTTTATCGCTTAGAAAAGCATGGAGTTCGACTTAACATTAGTATCATTGCTTGTTTAATGACTATTGTAATGCTGTATTAAGAGATAATTTACATCTTTACAGCCTTTTTGGCCTACTGGATCCGGTTGTGCTAGAGGATTTTTAGGTGCTTATGATTCTGCGTGGATGATAAGAGGATGGAGTGCGTTAATATCACGCAAGAGAGCTGATTGTATAGAGCTGATTAGACAACGCGAAAGTGTGTATACTTTATTGGCCCAAACCACACCCAATAATTTGCAAAAAAATATTACTAAGTATTCTCTCGATCCAAATACGCGATATTGCAATTTGAATATAAAGGCAATTCCTGCTACCGTCGTTCAATTTCTATATGATGACGGCTCTGATTCTACAGATAATCCCAGCAAAAAGATGTCAAAGTCCCCATCCATGATCGGTTAGTGAAAAGAAGAAAAATATTTTTTACAAATGTTAAAATCTATTTAAACTATTACGATCAGTTGACTGAAATGAATAGGAATATCGTTGCCGCAACTATATTCATTTCCTCTAATTAAATTTTTCTATATTTTATTGTAGCCGGTATTACAACGCATGAATTATTGGGGTGGTGTAGCAACTGTACATCCGTTTATAAAAATATCAACATAGTTAATATGACAACTTCTTGGAAGGATGGAATGGCGTTTTGCGCAATTATTCATCGCTTTAGACCAGATCTAATGTTGGTTTATTATTCACTATTAAATTTTAGTATTCATTCATTGTTGGTATTAAGACGAGTCACACTAATATATAACTCGTGTAAAGTTAATATCTTATCTGATCTTTGTGTAGAGATTTTGATTCCCTTAGCCCTGATAGCGTAGAGGAAAATCTTAATTTGGTTGGTAATTTTTTATTGCTTATACATAAATTTGCTACTTATGGCTAACAAAATTACTACTATATACATTTTCTGTAGGCAATTTCAGTTTCTGACGAACATCTAGCAATTGCTCCAACTTTCAATCCTAACGAATTAATTGAACTTGGAGGAGCTGACCCCCTTTCTATAATGTGTTTCGTAGCCAAGCTTTATGACGTTTTCAAGAACGAAAAACCTCAAGGTTCGATTTTCAACAATAAAACTTTATTATTTCTGTATGCTTTCAGAAGAATTGCGGTATTAAAGCTGTAACAATAAGTCCTCAAAAATTTAATATTAACTCAACGATGTTGTGTCTCTATTTAATGACATGTAGAATTAGCAACAATGGAAGATGATGCAAAAGCTCCTGTTAATCGATCTCCTATGGGCAAACTAAGATTATTCCGTAAAATCTCGAGCATATTATCTAGGAATAAGGTAGTTTTAGATTAACATAACTTCTAGTAGTATATTTTTCGCTTAATGGCTATAAATTGCAAGAATTTATTAATTTTAATTGTCCTGATATACGCCAATACGGCAATATTCACTTGAGAGCGATAGATTGCGTTTCTTCATAACTCTCTTGTCTTATATATATATATATATATTTAATAGAGTCAACTGGCATCGCAGAAGGATTCAAATCAAGAAGAGCCACAGAAATCAACTAAAAAGAAATCTCACTTTCAAAATCTTATCAAAAGCGTTATTGTAAAAAACAGTGTAGCAACAAAATTTCGACAGGTATTTAATGAAAATATTGCTTCATTACAATAGTATAAAATTCAGTAAATACCGGCATAATAATAGCTAGAATTACTCACAATATTTTCCTAATTGTAGCCAGTTAATACTAGAAAACTTTCACAAAGCCAAGTTTGCTATGTCTGTGGCAAGAATAGTTACTTATTGGAAAGAATATGTGTCGAGGACATGTTTCTTCACAATACTTGTTTTAAATGTCATACATGTGAAGTTACACTGCGGATTGGCGATTACGAATTTGTACCATCAGATAATCCAACAGAAAAGGGAAAGTTTTATTGCAAGCTTCATGGACCATCATCATCAACATTTACTGGGGATTCAGTTGATACAATTGATAGCAATACCGTATCCAGGGCTGTAGAAGAAGATCAAGCCACAAGAGAGAGAATGAGAAGGAAAATGCAAAGGAAAAAAGCCACCATTATGCAGCCTGTGCTAGACTTGGTTATGGAAGATAGTGCAAGTGGTATATCGAGTAGCGAGGAAGAGATAGATTCAACTGATGATGTAGAAGAGGTAAAAGTCTGGTATTAATATGCAAGAGTTCATAGTTTAAGTTTTGTGTATCCAACATCATGCTTTCCTGTTGGATTACTTCTTTAACTTAATTTGGTAATGAACTATAATATTCAAATTGTATCATATTACCAAAGGAGAAAACACAGCAAACATCAGAAGCTGCTACACTTGAAAATAAAAGACGCAGACAATTGAAAAGAAAACTAACAATGCAGCAAATTAAAGATCGTCAATTTGCTGCAAATCAACTATTTCTAGCACAAGAAATTCAACGCAAAATGAGGGAAACAGAATATAGAATATCTGAGATAACAGCTCAAGGCGCAATCCTCGAAAAACGTTTACGTACTGCTGCAGGTACTAGCTTTAGCTGTTATGCTTACGATACTAAGTCGTCAATTGAATAGATATTTTATATTGACTTGACAAATAAATTTGAAAGATACTACTAGTGACGAAGATTTAGCCGAGTGGTTCGATCTAATCAAAGAAAAAAACGCTTTGCAAAACTATGAAGTGGAGCTGTCATTAATGTTAGTAAGACTTATTGTCAATCGAAAACCTGAGCATGATTACAATTTTTTTTTTTTTGTACATTATCTTCTTTTTGATAGGGCAAAAATGGTAGAGTTAGAGGATAAAATATCGGTCTTAAAATCAGAGCGTCCTAGGGATGAAGAAAAGCGACAACTGCTAAATGAGACGGAAGCGGAAAAAGAAGCACTAGAACAGACGTTGCAAAACGCAAGAGACAAGTACGCTAGCAATACTGTATTGTATAAAGGTTACAATAACGATAATTCACGATCATTGGATTTGAAATTTTAAAGCGTTTATTTAGTATATTTATACAAAGCCCGCTTATATGCAGTTTTTTCAATATCATTGCTGTCAGAAAATGATTAGCATATCACTTATATAAATTATACACTCACAGAGGAGTAGTTTTTCCGGGGCTTATTTTATAAACGCAAACAATAAAATAATTTAGAATCTTGTTAATTAATTTTGAGATGTGCACATCCGATAAATTTCGAAACTTAATTACTACAACTCTGCAAGTACGCATGGTATTCGTATACCGTAATGGCTATCGATAAAGATAAACGTTAATTTTTCACACCAGAGATATTGCACTAATCTATTGACATAATTTTACATATAGGGTATCTGATAATAAGGAAAGTTCAATTGAATATATGTTGCTATTTCAAGGTACTGTAGAGTGAATAAAAAATTCTGGTAGAATAATCTATATATAATTTACATATCAATTTCATATTAGAACAATATGACCATACATAAAGATGATAATTTAAATGTATAGGATTCACACAATTTGGCCAGGATGCGATCCAATGGGTATAAAAGAAGTCCGCAAATGTATACCTGAACAATGATTCTAAAATTATGAAATACAATTGCATCATAATGTATCATTTTATCGCCTTTATTAAGATAATGAATATGTATCGGGAATACAACAGTATTCTATTTTACTCTAAATCCGTATGACTTATTTTTCTTCATTACCAGTTACTAATAATTATAATATTACTTACTGCATATGGAAGACAGAAATTTTTTTTAATATCTCTTAACGATAGTATCTTTACTGTTATAAGGATCATGTTTGAATCAGTACTTCATATTTATTATCCCAAAAATTATATAAATAAACTGGTACGCTTTTAGGAAACTTAATTTTTCGAATTTCATCGCAGATGTTTTGGATTTCTTTGCGCGCCTGCTGGTGTTTTTCACATATAGAACGGAGAATAGATTTGTATGTTGAGTCGTCTGCCATTATCTATAGAAGGAAACCAAAATTAGATATTATATACGTAGTAGTACAAATCACGGCTTCTACTACATTCAAATAAGTATGTGGTACATCTTACATCTACTTCGGCAATGTCAGGTAGATAATCACTACATAAATCAGTTGCTATAATTTCGATAGCGGCTTTGCGACCATATTTCGTTACAGCCTTTGCAATTCGAGCTTTTATCTGTACGGTGAATGCGAATACAATAATTACAACGTACGGTTATAACATGTGCTACCAAAATAAAAGTACTACGTAATTAGTGTAAGATTAGTATAAGATTCTGAAAAAAGGCCCACCTGAGCTTCATACTTCTTTCTAGCAGTGCCAAGTACCTTTTCCAAGGTAATAAAAGTTACGTTGACATAGGAATAGTCTTGACTAGGATTAAGCTGCTTTTGAATCGCAGAATCCATTTTACAATTTAGCGCATTTTTATTTCTATAGAGATATAAGTTTAAATGAAAATATTGCTACTTTTATAATCTGGAATATAAATTAAAAACTCAGTTAAGAATTGATATGGCAACCTGAATATGTCAATTTTTTCCATAAAGAACGTATATAAATCTGATATCTTCTTTGTCTTCGGCGATAATTCGTTGCTAACTTTATAAACGTTAACGTGTCCTGGCCTTTGCAATAAAACCAGGAATGAAATACCCATTTTTAAGCAATAGGCTAAAGCTGTCTTATCTAAGTCAGAAGTGACACTAGCCATATCTGGCTTTTCAGCGTAATCGCTCTTTACATACCAACAAAAATTACGAGTTAGCTTTAAAAAACAACACCAATAGCAAAAATGATGTATCGCTAATAAATAGTAGTTGAACTTATACCTCATAAAAATCGTACTGAAGCTTAACTCTAAAACCAGCATCCCAAAGTGCACCTGCTAATTCTATAATGTCATTATCTAGAACGCCTTCGCGATAAGGAAATATTAAGATATCACAGAGTGAGTTTCCAGTCATTTGGTGACGCCACGCTAACATCTTATCAATCGAAAATGTAACTCCGTAATAATTAATGCTATCTTCACGCCGGCTAAATTTGTCGATCTGTGAAGAGATCATGCAAAACAATGGCGTTAAAAATCATCCAAATGTGACACCAAAAACAATAATTATAATCATTGAAGCAAAAACAAAACTGTCAACATGACTTACAAATTTTTCATAACTACCACCACTCGCAATAATATCGAATAATCGTTTGCTTCTACTAGAATCACTATATGTTATATTAAAAAATGGTCCAGAAAATCGACTGTTTGCTCCGTGAGTAAATCTAAAAGAGATAAGTATCTAGAAGATTTACAACAACGAAAATGTTAAATAAACTACTGCTAACACAGATAAATTGGCGTAAACACTTTTCCGACCTGATCAACATTTAATAATTGAGCCAATGAATATATTTCACATAAGTTATTTAAAGCATTTGAATCTTCTTCAGATATTCGTTCATTGTAAAATCTCTTCAGCGCCACGACGAATGGCTCCGGCGGAAGGCTCAAATTCATAATGTCGATTGTCTTAAATATCTATTAGGAAACATAACCAAGGCCAATTCAGTGAAATTCAAATAAATCAGCATTATCAGACAATCACAAAACCAAGATATAGTTAACATTAATTTACCGTTTCGTCAGACAGACCGAGACCATGCAGCTGTTTTTTCATAAATTTGCTATCAATTGTTTGTTTCTTTGTACTACTAAAGATTTTAATAACTTGGCTATGAAGGCGAGTCTCTATCCCACAGTGGCTCAAAATATTACGCAGAAGCGTCGTATGATTTAAATGAATTGAATAATCTTGAGCCTGTCAAGAAATTAGAAGCGTCACGAAAAAAAATATAGTAAATAAAAATTGTTGCAGATCATTCAATTTTTTCTATAGAATTCCTAAATTGATTGCGTATGACAGCGAGTTATTTCGTAAGGCTCATTTTTAAGTATTTAGAAAGAAACTGACGTAAGGGAGAAATATTAGTACCTGTAGCAAAGGGAATAACTTCAAAACTTCCGACGCAACACAAATTACTTCCGCGATAGTTAAGGCACTACAGGATATAAACAGTCATTGATTATGCTAAATTAAACTCTGTTACGCCAAAGAACATCAGTCCTATGAGCTCTTTGATCGTCCAGTAATACATATATCAGATTGACTTGGTCAACATTATAGTAGTTTAACTAGCATCCGCTGTTAATTTAAAATAGCCTGCGAACGTACTTCTTTTTAGTTGTTGAGACTATATCAAAGGTGCAAGCATTTCTTTCATCGGGAATCGAGCCACCATATCTTGATTTAGAATAAGCTTTACCAATATAATATCGTTTAAGTTCATATATTCGATTATGAGCAACAAAGCGCGCAAAATTCTCCTGCAAAGATTACACAATAATTCCAGATTGCAGAATTAAGTAAACTAATATGAACATGGCCACCAAATCGCTCCAGGCATACGATGTCCATTAGTTAAAAAGAATTATAAGCTTACCTCTAATCGCCTAGGTAGCATTACCAGAGTTCCAGATTCATCAATTAAAGTTACGGTTGTATCATTGTGATCATATCCTCTTGTCCAAGGCATTAACAATGGTACATTGACGTTAATAGCTCCATGCTCACGAAAAATCTTTTGAAATAAATTAACGAATGTTAATTCCATACTAGCAAATCAAAGCTTAGGCAAGTTTCAACGATTTATCCAAGCTAGTTTGCGTACGGAATTTAATAGCGTACGTATAACGAATATCAAACCTCTTCAATAGCATTGCAAATGTTGGTGAATTTGATGTTATCCTGCTGTTGAAACTGAGTCTTCAAGTTGTAAGCATAATCAGCAGGTACATCTCCTGGAGTTCCGATAGGCCGAAAAAGTTGTTCTATCAAATTACGATAAGTAGTTGTGCTCCTGTTGGAAACAATTTGCTGTATAACCTAAAAATTTAAAATAGAATTTTACAAGCAATTATCATCATTAATATACCAGGGAATGCTCTATTAAATATTTATTTTACAATTCAATATACAAGTGAGAAGAGTTACGAATAAAAATGTACAATTTACGTTATCAATTGATTTTCAATCATCAGAGTTAATTACCAATTCACATTGTTGGTCATCAACTTCAGACGGTATAAGACGACTCGTGAACAAATCTCGAGCCGTCGGCCTTTTCTTAGGATCATGATTAAGTAACATTCTGATTAATTTTACCTATTAGAATGATCAGTATTAGTACAACTAACACATACATTAGTCACTTCATCGGCATTTATGTATAAATTTTGCTATACTAATATTTGAAGCAGAAAAGTTGTGATAGGACTAAAACCATTAGCTAAGACACCTAATCCTTTAAAACAATATAGCAACAAAAAAATACAAGGAAAATCACTACTAACTTTCGTTTCAAATGCTGCTATGGAATCTTGAAATGTTTCTGGTAGGATAATATCGGACTGAAAACATAAAACAAATTTAAGGATCTAAGAGATGCTCGTAAACATGTAAATGTTTAATTAAGCAGAGAAATAACTTTTCATATTCAAATCAAGTTTGTGGTGGATTAATCTCTATGTACAGAAAATAATAAAGTAAACAAGTCAGATCTCGGTAGCGTACCTGTCGCACTTTCATTATGACCGAATATCTTTCCATTCCGGTATCAAATTGTGGGTGGCACATTTCAAAAAAAATGATACCCAAACTGTACATATCAACTTTCTAAAAATTATTTACCGCACTATTAGTCGTTAAATATTTATACAACTACAACTATTTTGGAATCTTGTACTAACTTCATCGTATCTGAATTTTAACACACTAGACTGAGTGATTTCAGGAGCTCTATACAAAGTTGTTCCAACAGCACCAGAATTATGATCTAAAAATGTAAGTAAATATAAAAGGGTTGTCAACCGCATCTTTTAAAAGATAGCCAATAAATCTAACATGAACAACTTTTAATCACGTCATTTCAGCAAGACTTATAAAATTTATGGATTCCAAAAAAATACGGTAGTTTTTTAAGTAGTCCTTGAGAAAATTATAGGACATATTAGCAGCATTTAAGTTACTATTTACCATAAGCAGAGAAACTTCCATCTTCCATACTTTTTAAGTTATTGCCTACAGAGTTAGACTGCGACAGTTATAGATAAAATTTCAACTCAATAAGTAATGTAAACTAGGGAATTCATAGTTTAAAATAACATCATATGTAACGTATTTACCCGGCTAAACATCGGATGTTCAAGAGCAAGTCCAAAATCACCAATTTTGACTTGATCTTTTGAGTCTATAAAAACATTACCAGGTTTCAAGTCACGATGCAGGATACCCTAATGAGCATAATAAGTTATAAGTTCATAGATTTTAACGTTTAATACAATCTTAACTAGTTTCATATTCAACCTAATAAAAGGAATTTACCTGTTCATGAATATAGGCTAAACCCTGTACAATCTCACCAAAATATTGCCAAAGTTTCTCCTCATTCTTGTAAATGCCTTCATCAATTACTGTTCGCAAGTTGTTCTTTTCACAGTACTCCATCTAATATTAAATATGAAGGCGGAAATTATTGTTACCTTATACATGATCTAATTTAGTAAATAATTCAAAATTTTGTGTGTATGTACGAAATTCTCATTACGAATTAAAATTAACTAAAGATTACGAAAAACATGTAGTACCTGTATGTATAAATACTGTATCAAATTCACGGTATCTGACGTAGCATCGAGGCATGCATCAACCTATAATGTACGATCGAGCAAACGTTTGGCTTCTTTCTTTCGTACATGAAAATTTATACAGCTAGGTAACACATTTACCTTATCTACAATGAACTCATCGGAATCATCATCTTCACATTCTGCATCGTCCTCATCATCTCTTACAAACTCTATGAAGTCCATGCTAGAACTAACTTCCGGCTTAGTTATTAGTTGAATTCTTTATTAAAAGAAATTGCATCCATATTCAGGGTGTTCTGATGTATTCCAATATTGTTACTAAAGTTCTGTAAGATAGTTACCTCCCAGGTACATTAATAACATCTTCAAGGTCTTCCGTACTGTCCTCATTACTGCTATTAGATTCTTTTTCTTCTTTAGTTTCTGTTTCGATCCAAGAATTATAATATCTAACAAATAATTAATGGATAAAAAAAGAGTATGAAGGTTATTGAATATAAATTAAATATTATATCGGAATTTGTCATTAAATGATAACCTGAATAAAATTATATGCATATCATGTCAACAACAATTTAAATCAACAAATGCTTAAATATCAATCAATCAATCGACTACTTCTTACTACTTAATTCACTTTTACCTTACAACATTTTCATGATGCATACGAGATATTACTAAAACCTCTTGTAATATCTTTTTAGCAAAATTGGCATCTAGCTTTATCTTTTTAATTGCATAGTAGCAACCATCGAGTTTCTTCTGAACCTATTTGATATTTAAACATTTGAACTTCATAAATATCACATGGTTGTAAAATAGCTCAACTAAATTCTTATTAATGTAACCTTCATAACATCACCAAAACCGCCTTTTCCAAGAAGTTCTATAGTTGAGAATTCGTCATGCAACCGTGAACCAGCAGAATTTGTAGAAAGGGTCGTCTTAGACGTGCTGATATTATCATCTGTAAGACCTAGATATATTAGATTAATCGTACATGTTATCATATTGTCAGCAAGGAAATATAAGGTGGTACTAAAGGTTGATGTAATACGTTCATTCCTATAAAGTCCTCTGTTGACTGTATAAGTAAATATGCATACATACCTTTGCTTTCTAGTGACGGATAAGCACTCCATGTCAGCGATTTATAGTCTGAGACAACAAATTGGTGATACAATAAAGCTTTGATTGTATCTCGATTATCAGCCTTAAAGCACCTGAAATTAATGTTACTAATTTTAAAACCTGTTCAATTTACATTTAAGGATTCATGATACGGAATAAAATCAGCTCAATTCAATATATTAGAGACAACTAGTGATCTGTAGGGATCTCCTACTTCGCTAAGAAGTCAGCAAAATCCTTCGGCAAATGGTAAGGAATATTGACGGAACTTCGACTTGTTGCACGCACTTGTTGTCCCTTATAAAGTGATAACAACAAAACGCCCTGGTAATGAAAGAGTCGATAAACCCATAATTAATATCAAATAAAACATTAAAAAATATGCATGTACAATATCGCAATAGTTTAATGCCCTAATGAACTTACTAAACGGAAGATATCGTCAGAAACAGAGTATACACTGCCTGTAGCACCCGCAAAATCTTCAGATAGCGAGTGAAATCTATTTAAAAGAACAGAATTCATCAAGTACAGAAAGATAACGCTATTAAACTGATTAACAATAGTTTGATAATGTTAGACTACTGCTTATATTATCAGAAAGTTATAAAATTGAACCTTTCACTTAATTCATAATTAGATAATTTGATTTCGCCTGCAGAATCTACATGCACACAGGATGCCTACAAATCAAGCGTGAAAATAAACGTAGGAATTACAAGCACTTATATTACAATTTTATCGCGACTTGTAAACATGTTATCATAAAAGTGCAACCTTATTTACAATGTACTTAAACGTATATTATTTTTTTTAATTTTCACAGTATACAAAATATGCATCGCTGAACCCGCATTTTAGTTCTAGCTTACTGTTAAATATCCGTGATAGATCTTTTTATTATGTAAAAATTGTAATGCCTCCATTATTTGTCTCGTATAATACCGCAACTCTTCTAAATCTAGACCACGGTTATTACCTATCCTATCGGCTAGACTACTGATAGGTATATGCTCAGATAGTACCTATGTAATTAATACAAAATCAGTGTAAAATGACTATAACAGTTTTGATAAATCCTGTCTTATTAGGGTTCAATCCAATACATGAATACCTGAATTTGAATATAGTCGTTTGAGATTACATGATTTACACCTAAAAAGCCGATAATATTTGGATGACTTGGAGGCAATCTTGAGTTTACCTCCTGCTCTAACTCTATAATCTGTTTTCAAATGAATAAAAAGCAATACAATATCAACAATACCAAATATGAATATTTTATATCAAATAAAGTAACGCACGAAACAATGTTTGCTATAAAGCAAATCATACTGCCTACGTTTAACTTAATGGAATAACATTAACATTTCCTTAAGATTTTTACGAAACACCTTTACTGAACAAATAAATAGACTTGCTGACCTGTCTAAGTAGCGAATTATTATCACTTTTGATAGGCTTTAATTGCCAGGCTAGTAAAGATATAATGTCACCCGTATTGCAATCAATACCAGCGAACTTATAGTATCCGAAGTCAGTTTTACCTATCAAGATTCAGTTAAACATGAATACTGATTTAAAGCAATAAAAGTTATTTTCCTGACTACTATACAATCATTAACAAAATTGAACTAACCCGTTAGTTTGCCAATTTGAATATTTCTTTCTTCTCCCATTACTTTAAATTTAATTTTGTTACCTAGATTTGATCCAGGAAATGCGATATCAACCGCTGTGGTTCCTTCATAATTCACTTTTGCCTTTATTGTAACTGACATAGCTGAAGGTATATTAAAACACTGGTAAGTTGTTTGTAGTAACAAGAATCTGAAGATATAAGCCGTAAAATTACTGTAGGTGTTGTATTTGATCAAAGATCCCATAAGATCTGGAATCATATTTACAGTGAGATTATAAGTTGCTACTGTAAATTCTTCAAAAGCGTCTTAATTTAGGTAGTCTTACCACGTCGTCTGATTTCTTCTTTATCACCATCTATTCTCGTTTGAATGATTTCGTCACTCTCCTGTAATCAGTTACATTGACAAATACTTATTACAAGTATATTAATATGCGTAAATCTTTTGTAATAATTAATTGAAAATTATAAAGTTCGCGCATTCTAACAAATCTTTTCACATCTTTTGAACAATATTCCTTGAAATAAAAGTAATTGTGAACAGAACTTTGACTAGCAAACTTTTCGATACGATTCCATAAATGATAATAAATTGTAAACTTTAATATAAACCGACATATTAATTGTTCCAAAATGGCACAGACATAAACATGAGTAACCATTCATCAATAAAGAAGAGTAAGTTGGCCAAATAGATCTAAGAAAAGCATAACAGCTATAATCGAACTATAGGATATGAACTATTGGACGATGCATATTAACTACATTGCAGTAATTGAAACTAACATATTGAAGGAAATATCGAAAGTAGTTAAACAGATGATAATTAATCGTACATAGCTAACACGCGTAGCAGTGGCTACATAGTATGGTAACTACTGTACCTAGAGTAATGAGGAAATTTGACATATCAATTCACTTACCAGAAGACGTGAACTATACCGTATATCAGCGTTAAAGAGCTTATGTAAAAACTTTGATTGCATTGCAAGCGATACGAACCTGGAACTCTTCTAAGTTTTTCTTTTTCTTTTCATCCTCCTGCTGTTTAACCATTAAAGCGTAGAATGATAACTGTGGTCGATTGTACTTGTGTAGGTATCCCCTAACAAATTCTGCCAGTTCATACAAAACCTCATATCCAATTCGTTCTTTAGCTAAATTATTTAGCTGCTCCTTTAACTCTTCCATCTGCGAGTCAGATAGTCCTTTAGCGTTTTCTATATCAATTTCAGGTACTCTGAATAACGAATATTGAAATTCTTAGTTATTGTACTCGCATAGGAATAATCCTTTCTCGAAATTTTCACTTTCGCCTTACTCGTTAGGGTACTTTTCCGAGCATTTCACAAGCAGATCTGCATGCGCATGAACTTCTCCATCTTGACTCGTACTCTGAGTCGGCTCCAGTTTTAGCCTGATATTGATGGTGTATTCCCCGGACTTTATCCAGTTGATTGTTATAAGAATGTGCGTGTATCAAATAGAAACGAAAAATTACCACACTTATTGCGTCCATGAGATATAACGTAACTACTATGGTCATTCGAATAAAATAGCACAACATGCCAGCCTGAGTAGTGCTACAGGTGATGCATCTCTATTCTCTATATATTAGCAACAAATACAATCTAACTATCTACCTACAGTATAGTCTAGGGGTCTTTGTTACTTAGGAAAATATCTATATTGCTGAGTTGTAATTTATTAAATAACAAAATTCGCTCAGTATAGCAAGAATTGTGTATTTGTACACTATTATAATTTTAATGGTTTTACTACATAAGACTAAATACTGTACATCAAGTTATACTCGTAAATATTATTTTACGAATTCATTTGTAAACACAATGAAACTTTTAAGCAAAGGTACATTAATTATGGTACTAATAACTATAATACAGGATGCAGATTTCAGCATGGCTGTCATTTCATATCAATTTACGACGAGTAGCTAACGATTTAGTAGGTTACATTGTTTAAAATCCTTAGTTATTGATTTCTTAGAATAGCCTAAAGTGAGTAAATACTACAGCATAGCTTTGTAATACTGATTAAAATGTAGCAAAATCCTTATGTAAATTAAAATCAGTCAATGAATGCTAAGAAAGATTTAGCCATAAACCTTAATTTGCGATTTTCTACAGTAAAGTACAGTATTTCATGTATCGTGTTTCAACATAATCTAATAGTTAAGCATTGATCAATGTTTGAATAGTAAATAACTAGATAATGACGATAAGTTCCTTACATATAAATAATGACTCATTGCTTAAATTCTTTTAATTTAATAAACCTTATTTGCATTGATGCTATACAGCCAAAGTGATTGACCAATTTTATAGTGTATTGGAATATTACAAGATACGCGTATGCATAAAAGTGATACATACTTTGACTGACTACCAACATCAGACAACTGCAAGATCGATTAATTGATGTCATCAAATTAATTTACCGTACTACATATATATATATATATATATTTAAAATAATATATTAGATTTAGCAACATTGGAGGCAATCTTTTGCATTGAAAATTGTATCTGGCTCGGATTGAATGGCTAAAAATGCATGGTATTTTTGGTATTTTATCACTAGCCAAAACTAGAACTTCTGCAACCCGTCATAGCCTTTTCTATTACGTGTACATTGTAAATTACAGTACAGTCTAGTTAGCGGCAATAATTAATAAGCTCCAATAAATCCATCTATCAGATGCCGTATTTCATGCATTGAATATATATATAGCTCCTATTAACAAATAGAGTAAAGTATCGCTATTCTAGCAGTTTACATATTATTCAATAGATGCCTGAGGTCCATATTATAGCAAAGATGTATTCCGTTTGAAATATTGATGGCATGAGTGTCCTGCACACCACTACTAACTGCTAATATTAGAATTGAATCTGTGCCGCATACCGTGCATCGTTTACCCATGGACTGTTAGTAGAGTACAGCAGTGGCAGTATAGTCACAGTCGACGATACAGTATTTAGTCTCCTATCCAATCAATCGCTGAATTGCCATACAACTATTCTACTTTAACCGGCAAATACAACAGCATGATTGGATTTTTTAAAATCACTTTGTAGCAAAATTAGTTTACCTGACTAAGTTCTTCCAGGTCATGTTGGTAGATCGATTTCAATACTTCCAGCTCATTTCTTTGCAATGCTAAGAAATCTTCACTACTGAAACTCGTCATCTTGGTTTTCGTATTTGAAGACGTACGTCCACGACTGTGGATTGCAGTAAAGTATGATGAAATTATTGCTTCTTCTTGATACAAGCGCTCGTATTTTACCTAAGCTAACCAGTCTGATGCAACCAAACAATTATTCTATAGCAATAGCATACTTTGACGTCTTGTTTAGAGTTTTTTTCAATGAAATTCACAGAAAGAGAGAGAAGAAATTGGAGTCTATTTTAGTCGGCAATTTTCAAGTCTGAGCTCCCAGTTGGACCATTCATTTTTTCAGTCATCTGGTTATCGGCTACAAGCGTTCACTGCTATGGTTGAGTTTGACTGGTAATAATGATTCAGGTGAAAGGAAGGTTGACTCTTTAAGCTTTGTATTGAACTTGCTCTCAACCAGCCGGTCATCATAGGGAAGTGACACAGGCGAGTGAGTTGATTGAGTCATGGTTGACTACACAGTACACGGTATACTGAGTGTAACTGAGTCGAATACTGACTGAAGTCTATTATTGTACGTCGTACTTGGACGAATACTGTACGACTGTATGGGGGCGTAATTTAGTGAAGTGACGTTCGACGTTCCCCTACACTGATTCAGTGCTACACTCCAGGTACAGCAGTCACTCGTCAGTAAGTCACACTCTGGACTACTTGACTCTTGACTGACTATTCAATGGCTTTATCATGTGTTATCTTGCGTGGAAGTCATTCACTCATCGTTGTGTGGAACATACTGACAACCGACAGTCATAACGGCTGTAAATGAATGTCCCAAGATCCAGTCCAGTAGTAGTTCCGAACTGTGTGGAACATACTGACATCGTGCAGTCAGAAACGCTGTAAATGAATGTCCAATGTCCAGTCCAGTAGTAGTTCCGAGCTGAACTATCGACACTCGACAGGTGTAACGTCTAGTGTCCACGTCACCGAAAAGAACAGAAAGAGCACGTTAATTACAGTACCGGATGTGAGAGTCTTTTTAAAGGAACTGTAGGACCGTATCGTTTAGTATCAAAGGCTACAGTGTACAGTGTACAGTACTCAAAGCGGTACGATCCTGTATTGTACACTGTACACTGTACAGTACTGTACTGTACTGTACCGTACTGACGGTGTACAGTACAGTACGTCATCCAACTTTCAACCAGGGCCTTTCTTTCAAAATAATTTAAAGACCTAAATCACTATGCAATATGGCTACTAACCCGGAGAATGAATTACGACAAGTTGCACAACCATTACTTTCACCTTCTATCAGTTATGCTTACACTAACCTCTGTGTAACAATAATAAAGCGATTATACCCGGATGAATTGTAAGCCAGATTTATTTTGCAGGCTATTAGGCTACTAATCTGTTTTTAAAAGTCATGCATTGATTGTTTACGTTTTGAACTTGACAAAATTGGTATCAAAATTTTACCAAGAAATAACATTTATACAAGAAATATTGACATGAAATATCATATTTTCCTGAATAGGCAACATCAAACTAGCTCATTAATTCAGTATTACTTCTCCTGCTAAAATAAGGATAAAAAGTCTCTCAAGATAGTTTGATTCTTAATGTATTTTAGTAATGCTTGGTGTATAATACGTAGGATAATGACATCATCGGTAGCATGTACAAAAACTCTTAATTAATACATCGAACCAGCTGACTACTTCACTTTAACTACTGTAGATAACGTTGCATGATGTTATTTGCGTATATCTTGATCAGAATCCATTAGTACCGTAATCTTATTTGGAATGCTAACTTAATCTTTATCGTGAAGAATACAAATAGAACACGATAAATCAAATCAAACAACCAAATAATACGTGCACCCTACGATATACTGTACTCGTCGTACGTTAGGCATATCATGCCATTTTCCCCTTTTGCATGAAACTTTTCTGCCTATATAGAAATGAATCTTCCTTCTACCAACGTACAAACTCCAGTATCAATTGACTGATGATATAATTCATCAGTTTACAACTTGAACCCTTTCCTAACTAGACACGTATACTTTTCTTACAGAGAATGGTCCAAAAGCATTATCGATCAGTTAAGTGATCACCTAAAATTGACAAAGCCAGGTAAGGTAACACCTCTAAAATTGCGTTTGTAAACATCGATACCTAGTCATGATGCCTGCTTTATTGATCCGCTCTCATATTGACTAGTCCATGATGCTATGGTGATGGCATTACAAGAGGATACTACTGAGGAAGCAGAGGAAACATTACTAACTCTCCTACGTGAAGATATCAAGCCGACAGAAAAATTAATTCTTCTACCTCAGGTAAAAAGTCATCAAACACACTCATTTTTAAACCTAAGTAACTAGAAAGAGGGCTAGTTCTATGTTTAAACGTATCTTGACACTTTTGCATTTTGTAACGAAACCATTCTATATATTCAAATGAATTATAAACTTTAAAATTTCGTATCCATATCAATCTTCCAAATAAAGTCATTAGTAAGTTTATTACAACGATTTGACTTCTTATTCAATTCTTGTGACCGTACTAGGATTTAGTCACGCTGGGATTACACTTAGGTAGGTTCAGTAACTTAACCGACTAGTTTTTTGTCTTTATGATTTTTACAGTTCTTGATACAGTACTTGATATGACGTTACCTTTCCTCACTAAATTCGTTTAAGCTAGCCTATGGTCTTCAATAAAGAACGCAAATAAAATTATCAGTAAAATGTATTTCCTACGTTAATTTTCTATTCCATAATTTTTACCTCACACTGACTGCAGGATATGATGCTAGAACGAGAGTATTAATTAAAGAATTGGCTTCGACATTGTCTATACCCTGGTTTCTTATGGAATCGTTTGAAAGTAACATTGTGCAAATGATTTCAGGCTACTGTGAATCTGAGTAAGAACATGTATAAAGTACTCGATACTGTACATGTAAAAAATAAAAAGCTATTGATACAGTACAGATACCGTTATATATACGCGTATACGTTTATGTAAGATGCATATACCTGTATTTTAATCTTTCTATGTATTTCCTTACTGTCTCCTCCAGAGAAGACAAAAAAAATCGTCTAAAAAGAAAAGCAAGTGATAAGAAAACAAGGTACTGGCTAATGGGATTAGCCACAGTCGGTGGTGGGATTGCTGTAGCTGTTACCGGAGGCCTAGCTGCACCTTTGATTGCGGCTGGAACCGGCGCTATACTAGGAACAGCCAGTGCAACAGCATTAAGTTCCACGGTCGGTTTGGCAGTCATTTCCTCTCTATTTGGGGCGGCAGGTGCTGGACTAACAGGTTATAGAATGAATCGAAGATATGGTAATCTTGAACAATTTCAATTCGCTATCTTAACTAATGGTAGAGAGCCACATTTAACTATAGCTATATCAGGCTGGTTGCTTAACAGCTCCGAAAGCGACTTCCACAAACCCTGGTCGACATTATACAATAGTAAAGAGCAATATACTTTGATATGGGAAACCGAGTACTTAAACGAATTAGGATCATGTTTAAGCAAGCTATTTTATAGCACTTTAATCTCTGAAGCTTCTATAGAGCTTTTAAAGCAGACTGCTCTAGCTGGTGTAATGGCTGCGGCTGCCTTACCAGCCATAATATTAAAAGTTGGTTCTGTAATTGATAACCCCTGGAGTGTATGTTGTAGCCGAGCAATTCAAGCGGGAAAACAATTAGCTGACGTATTACTGACAAGAAAGGCTGGTAAAAGACCCATAACTTTAATTGGTTTTAGCTTAGGTGCTAGAGTAATATACTATTGTTTGGAAGAAATGAGAAATCACAGCGACTGTAAGGGGATAATCGAGAATGTTATCTTACTTGGTACACCTGTCACTGGATCTACCAAGCAGTGGAACGAGATTGCCGAACTTGTAGCTGGTAAGGTTGTCAATGGATATTGTCGCAACGATTGGATATTGCATGTTATTTATCGCGCTAGCAGTACGAATTTAGCAATAGCTGGCCTTTCCCCCATTGAATCTACAAATAGTAAAATTATCAACGTAGACTTATCGAAGCATGTCTCTGGCCACTTAGATTACGCTGCAAAAATGGAGTTGATCTTGGAAACAGTAAACGTACGCACTGTTAATCGTTATCATGAGGAAAAAATAAAATATGAGAAACAAGTACAAGAACAGTGATAGTATTATCGCTCCATTTTCGTAAAATACGGTATTTACTGAAGGTTAAGATCCATTTAATGGATTTAAAAGATTCCTATAGAATAGTGACTGATCATTAGCATTCTCACAAGTTATACAAATATTATAAAAATGCCCGAACTGATGTACTGATGTAATTTATACTATATAAAATTTTTATATCACTTATTTTCGATACCTTTACGGTAAAATGTCAATTTAATTGCACCTGCAAGCAAAACATGGATATAAATTATTAGCTGCCTTATTACAGGTTCAAAGTTGAAAATACGCGTACTTACATCAAAGGTCTTTCTAGATAGGCACTCATATACCATACTTTAAGTTATCTTTAAAATCCACTACCAACCAACTACCGCGATTTTTCAATCACTTTAAAGAATTAGGTAATCAGCCTTACACTTTTTCTTAATGCCATTATTTCTACTGATAGAAAAAATTTAGTTATCAAATGAAGGATTAGCTATCTTCTGAATTCGAATCAATATAAAGATATCCGATATCTGCAGCGTGCACTTACTAAACTTAGAATTTACTATTAACCATAATAACCAAATGGAGAACAGTAAAATTTTGCGCGTAGTTTATCAAATAATATAAATTGGATTAAAATTAATTAAAATGCATTTAACCGTAACGTCGGTGAAACTTTTTTCCGCTATATGTGACAAAAACTCATCATTAAAAATCATGACGATGCAAGATGGATATAATTTAGTTATATTCGTTATTGATTTAGTTTTGATTAAAGGGAGTTCTGAAAATACTGCAATAAATATGTAACGATGTATAGGAAATGTCAATATTTAACTCAGTTATTTAAAAAGCATCTCATTCTATCTGGATGAAAATTGCAATTTCTAAAGAGCATATACTTTGACGCTATTAAAATTACTGGACAACGATATGGTTACCCGTAATTTTATGTTTCGATTTCGAAGAGCAACTTTTTAAATTTTTATGCCGGCTTATCAAATTACTGAAAACCACGTCGTTTAGACTGTCATAATATTTATTATTCATTAGGATACTGCAAATCTAATATACGGGCATGGTAAATATAAGAATTACTTAATTACTTTGAAGTGAGATTTACGTATTGCATCTGTTAAAAGCAATTTGATTATATTTCCTTTAAATTGTATTCATAGCATTTGATAAAATTTCAATCTAAACTAGATCATGATACGAGTATATCCTATACCCTAAATCTTATTCATATTGATAGGAACGACTTTAACCTCACGTTAAAACATCTAAATTTGTCTGTTTTATGAAAATCTCTATGTACCAAGTCAATGTTTACTGTATAGATTCGAATAAATCGTTAAATTTAACATTTATCTGCATAAAATTTTACAAGCTTTTCCAAATAGCAATACATCAGAGCATCTTTAAAACTGTCAATTTTACAGTAAAACTACTAATAACGGGAATACTAATATATTTCCTGTGATTATTGTAGCTAAAATCTACATTAATGATGAAATATGTAAAATTTACTCTCGATGACTTGCTAGTCATTAATAATTTTATTCGGTCATCACTACGCGGCAAAATTATGTTTTATCCTGTACATCACGTACGATCATATCTTGTGTAGTTTTGATATAAATGATTGCAATAATGTGGTATGAGAAATAAGAAAATTATGTCTCATTCGTGCTCGAACTTTTCCTTAGCCAGCAAAAAGGACGATGCAATTTCTATCTGATTTAATAATCTGAAAATGGAAAATGTTTCTACAAAAGGCAATAAAAGTTTCGGAAATTTTTCATGCAAAATGGACACTTGTCATACCTTGAATTGACTAACGCTCAGTCATACCGATTACATTAATTTATCAGTGATATAATGTTTCAAACTATAGATACCTAGACACTACACTATACGAGCATTTCAAAAAGCGATCAAATTAACATGTACTTGTCCTAAAGATCTATTTAATCATATAGTACTCACTACTGTATATGCTCCATATCATATGAGAGTATAATTTGATAAAATCTGATCATTTTATGACCCTAAATCATTAGTAAACTACGACCACTTCATATAATATTTAATAATTCAGATAGGCGTAAATACCAAGAATCTTGAGCTTATTTATTAATGAATAAGAAAATTCAAATCATTAGCAATTAGCGCTTCTCGGATCAAGTTTCAATTTACTTGCCAAATTACAGCTGGAACATCTAATGAAATTAAATCTAAGAATTATATCTCATTTCTTTATCTTCTATTTAATATTTCGTATTAGCGGTATCTAAATGATATCATGACTACTGAGCTTTATCAACAAAAACAGTTGCAGAATTAAAAGTATCTCAGCAGTGTGAATTTTCTCTAATAAGTAACTATGGCCTATGATAAGTGACCATGTTGTATTGGACGCTGGCAGTTTTATCTTTAACTCCAAAATGTCCATAAGGTACAGTACTATAAACCTTTTCATTACTTTGTCCATTAATTCGGCATGTCACTTTTCCATAGACAAGGGAACCACCACCGATGACCTCATCTACAGACGACCAGATGCTGAAAATATAGCTAGCCTCTCTGCTGGAATCTGCATTTAATTCTTCTAAAAAGTCTGAAACTCCATAAGGACCTGTGCCAAGATACAAGTAACCAGGATAGAAACCATTTGTATTGCCACAAGTAGGGGTAGTTGGTCCAGAAAAATAGCAGGAGGAAAGACCAAGATTAGCACCAGCAATGCCAATAAAGGTATCAACAAAATTCAACCGACTGCCAAGATTATAATATCCACCATTAAGAGAATCATGACCACTACCACCTTTAATAGCTTTACGTGCTAATGTAACTCCCATGGAATGACCAATAACATTAACCTTGGATTTACCAGTATATGACTTAACGGCTTCAATAAACCTTCGAACTCGAGTCAAATATGGCTTAGAGTGGTACTGCTGAGGGGATTGCAGAGCACTTGCTGGGCCCCATGTGATAGCATAGAGCTCACATTGACGATATCCACGAGATAGAAAATATTCAATAGAATCAGTCCAACCAGTTTGTCCTACAGTAGAGCCAACAGCTTTGTCGGAATTTCCATGGATGAAAATGACTGGGGTTTTACTTACACTTTCAGAGCTGTAGGATCTTCCACCATAGCTGTAGCCACCACCACGATCAAAATCATCACTTTTATATCCATTTGAATCAAGCCAATTCTGAAAATCACTGGACAAGATTGAAGTTTTTGGATTGATAGCGCTAGAAACCCAGCAAAAAGCGCAAAGTACGAAAAAGTAGGTAGCTATTCTCTTCATCTTTTTTTCGCTGAAAATTTTTATCGGCTAATATAAAATCAACCTAAACGATCTTACACCGACACGTATTATTTATACGTGATACATAATATAATTTATGCGATAATATTTAGATAGGACAATAAATTTGGTTTCAGTCAATTTCAATATTATTCTTTCTAAGACCAATAGTAACCTTCAATTTAATTGAGCAGTGGCATGTTATGATATGTGACATTATGAGTTAATGCCTTGACTTTACAATTTTGAATTCATGAATTAAATAATCACTTAAAGTAGGCGATGGATACAAGGACAATTAAAAATGAGAACAATACATGTTTGTGTCATCTATGCATCGTAAATAATTTTTAAGACGTGATCTTTCCGTTATCCCTTCTTCATTCAACATGCTAAAGCTCTTCCACTCCATTAACCAAAAGATAGTTATCTTGATATATATCATTGTCTATTAAATATCTTATCGATCCACAGATCTGTTTGCTACAGCTATATGCAATGCAATAGAGTTGAGCTATATTTGAGTTAGAATGTAGGTGTGTCACGAAGTGACTTTTCCTGCAAAATACTTATCTTATATATACGCGTATATATTTATTTACGTCAGATAACATACCGTTATCTATGACGTTATACATTCTTTAATAGATAAATGCATAATTTTATAATATTATCTATAAACGGATAACTAATGTTTACGTAGATTTAGTATAAATTGAATGATTTTTCGAGAAAGCTTGAGTTCAGCTTTGTCTAAGAGAGACTAGTGGTATTTACTGTTCTTCGAGACGATAGGAGATTGTCAGTATTTAAAGTCGTGTAATAGTTATATTTTTCGTCGTTACAGATCTAAATTTGTGACAAGCTTATAGTGCTTTAATCCTTCACTTTTTACTTGTTAGTAGATGTTAACTCAATAGCGATATTCTGAAGAAGCTATCCGTCGATTTGCTAACAATTTTAGGATTACATAAAATTGAATTGATTACATATCATAGTCTTTTATGAATTTTACCCTCTGATTAGACTAAAAAACCATGCAAAATTGATGGCCTATTAACAGAAAATACTTCGGGCTTTTATTTTAATAGCCATTGAATGCCTTTGCATACCAGTATCACTAATCACAATATCGCTATTAACAGTTCTTCCTTCTAACTGTTTCTAAGCTTGCAATGCAAATATCATCTATTTCAAACGATAGCTAGAAATAAATCATTCTAAATATATCAATCGATTAACCGAAATGGTTCCATAGTATTAGTGAAAGAAAGTGTACCTGAAAATTTTATTTTAAATTCTTTAGGAATAATCATGTAAGAGACTAATTTCAAATTATCCTTGTATCATTACATAATTATTAGAGATAATTATCAATGCAAGTAAATATTGAATCAGATAATCAAAATAAAGTTTTAGTTTCAATGCTTAGTTGCGCTATTTATTTATCTTATATATGACCTTCTATAGAATATCGCAGTTTACCTCATTATTGACATTGTATTTCATATAAAGACTTTGTATTCACGATGATCGTTATTGCTACGTGCCATTTTCTATCGGCTATAACGCTACCACAATTGTTTAACTTTGCAATGTCTGAAAATGACAGACTCATGTTAACATTTCCTTAATTTAGATCGTAACATGAAGCTTTGCTTACTCCACACCGATAATTTTACTAACGATAGATTTAATTCGCACTTTATGTTGCTGTATATGGTATCCAGACAATTCCTCCTCCCGACATTTGCCCCCGGACAACTCCCCGTCTCGAATATTTGTACAATTATTACTAGTAATTCAACCCAGTACATCTTTAATAAGAAAGGTAATGCCTTAAATAACTCTTTCATGAAGAATTAGCTTTCATAAGCTAATTTTGTTTCTACCATATCGCAAATGTGTTTGGTTATCGGGGGTAGTTTTCCGGGGGAATTGTCTCAGAACTGCTGTACAGACAGTACAGTATAGATGTAATAAAATAAAAAACGAAACAGATTAGCGCTGCATGTTTAAGTTTCGAATGAATAAGAATAATAGACATAGAATACATATAGAAGTAATTAATCCGATTACTATAGCATGATCCCATAGGATTAAATTGATTTCATTAATTTCATTCTCATAGCTAAATCTACTGTATTATACTTTAGGTCTTTCTTTAACGTTATAACTAAAGCTATGACGTTTCCTAATTCACTAATGCTAACTTTAGCTTTGAATATTCTAAAACCTTCATTGCTCTGTTCCGTAGTTAGCATACAACAGCGTCGGAAGCATACATCTCCATAACTAATATATGTATAGATATTTTGAATATGTTATATTTTTGACGTGCATATCTAACGTAATATTTGATATCATAATAAAACGATCTCGGTCGATTGTAAAGATTATTTTAAATATAATAGCAAAATATTAAACATGTTTAAAATTTTCGTTAATGCTTACAAGAATTGCTGAAGCGACGCACATATGTTCAATTTCTTATACGATTCTACAAATAGGTTTATTAAATGATGTCCGATCCAGTGGGCATTGACCATTTGTAGCGTATAATTTCGGTGTTGAACTTTAAACCATGCACAGTAGGTAATTCAATTTACTGCAAATGTTATGTAGTGATCTAAATTTATAAAAATGAAAAGTCTACTAGGGTTACAGTACACGTTTACTCACCATACAGTAATTGTACTACAATGTCATAGCATTATTACTGCGTAGCTATTAAACTGATTTAGTGTCACAAACCGAATTCTTGGACAACTACTTGTCTCATTTTCACTAGATAAGATATTTTGGTGTTTTGTTGATAATACCGTTATCTATGACTACTATAACATAATTTTATAGATAACAGCATAGTTTTATAAAAACTATCACCTAATAATTAGTTAAAGTTTTATATATAAATTCTCTATAAATTGATTAATTTTTAAATAAAGTTCGGCTCCAGTTTATTCAACAATAGCATTAACTGATTTACGTGTCCTTATCAAAGGAGTACTTTTATCACTCCAACGTTTATCAACAGCCAATTAATTACTAAAGTTTGCACAAGAAAAGTAAATCTACAGTACCACAGTTCTAGAAACTATTCAAGTACAAGCCTGCTGTCAGGCCTGTCAGCTCGACATCTACCTACTGGAGGTTATAGCAAACTACTCGTCTCTCAAATAGACAAGTAATAAACATGTATGCTCGACGGTCAGTTTGTGCTGTTGTCATCAGTAGCTTAATACGTGCATGCTCTAATGATTCTAAGCCGTAGCTTAGAATCGTTCAGTTTCATAGCTAAGAATGCAAACGGTTGTTTATTAATGTTAACCTTCAGGCGTACAAAACGGGTATACTCTTATGGACGCACGCAAGTAAAATTAAAGATATACAAGTAGGTAGATGTTACATTAAAGACGGCACTAGTTCGGATTCAAAAGGAGACTCGTACCTGTATCAGACTGTGTATAAAAAGCAGTTCCTATGGCCATACTACCAACTCGGTGACTACTCTGGCAATCTAATGCTGACCATGAAGCAATATCACAATTATAATCGTTAAATTTCTAACTACTTGAAATACTGCGTAGTTACATATGTATGAACTTTGTAACAAGAGCTTCATCTAACTTACTATTTTAGTGACTTTATGTCTATCGATAAAAATTCGTTTTTACACCGCGTCATACTGTGCGTATATATTATTAAAATAATTATATATAATCAACAAGAAATACTGTAGTGAGAAAATGATGCTAGCGATACAGTTGCAGGACCATAATAGAGGATGCAAATGCATAAATCATGTATTTCATAATCACGCTTATTCAACAAAGATTCAACAAAAAATAAAGATTATTGTGAAATCTAATTTGAAACTACTGAATTCTATTCAATTTGTAGCTTACATGATCATAATTAATGAAAATACTACGATTAATTTCCTTGAAAATAACGGTGAGCATGGTTTCATCAAGCATGCTTTAAAGCTTCCTTTTTACTAAGATTTGACAATTTATCTTCGTTTTCTTTCACAAACTTTTTAACAGCTTCTGGGTTGACCCGAAATTGATTTCTTAACGCCCAGCCAATGGCTTTCCTAATGAAAAAGTCTTTTTCTGCGGCACATGCGAGACTATATTTAAATAATTTTTTTTGATCAGTCTTTTCTTTATAATATAACTGGTGTAGAATAGCCGTTCGTTTAAGCCAAATGTTATTGTCAGCAATCCATTTATCTAGAATAGGGCCTAAGACATCAGGATTGCTTTTGTTCAATTCGCCTATAACTAAATCATTAATGAATTCCTTAAAAAGAAGTCATCTTAAATTCAATAAATGATTAATATAATTAAAGATTGATAGCATACAAAGAGCTACACAATCGATCTTGTACTTTATAAAGTTTTAACCTCTTGGCGCAAGAGTATCGACACAGTCCCACCAAGACTTGTTCGTTATCATACTTTCAATAACCTCAACACTCTTTTTTAATTCATCATCCGAATCACCCGTTAATGCAGGTATAGACTTTGTGGCTAATTCTGCAGCAAAGTACTGTTTACAATGAAAGGAATAAAGATGCTGTTATAATATTGTATCCATCTAAATGGAAATGAATTACCGACATAGTCATAGGTATATCATTGTCAACCTGATATTCACGCTGGGGTTTCTTCCATAATTCAGTTAATAGCTGATGATATTCATTAAAGGATAAATCTGGTAAATCTTTGCGAACTTGCTTGTCTATCTTTTGCCGTTCAGGTGAGTTAATCCCTAGTTTTATAATCAACATACATTGAAAAGGTTAAACTCTTATGATTATATTGATCACCATACTGTAGTATAGGAATTACTATCGAAAGGTGCATGAAATAAAATACGAAACGTTCGTCCGATTCAAAGAGTGAATAATTTTGTTTCTTCTCATTACCTGTATTTACGTGTTATTATCGAGGGGCTAATGCGTTCGTAAAATCCTATCAAAACTAATGTGATGCTTGATCATTTATCTTTGCTAAGGCTCTGTTGCATTCCGAGCTCATTTACTAATCCAAATATTCGTACGTACATAGACTGTACCAGGTACTTATTTGTGCAAGTCTAATACTCTTCAACTACAACTTGTAAACAGATCAATCTAGCTTCAGTTGGCGTACATAAGAGTACTTGTTGTTACGAAAACGTACTCCATAACAGATAGACTCAGCTTGCATTGCATTTTTAATTCCTTAGCATGTACGGATACATTCGACTGGATGTACGTGGATATTGAGCTTAAAACCGATGCAGTGTAAATTGCTCTTTAATAGGTCAATTTGATCTAAACTATCCTACAACTCCTATAACAACATTAAGTTATTAACCAACATGAACTACCAATTTGCAGTTTATAATTATGATAATACAAGATTCAGAAATGATTGGATACCATATAGTAGTATTTACCATAGTATTCGAATTGATCTCGCATGTACTTTTTCATTGTAACCGCTTTATCTGCATTGGCTTTTTGCTGATAGCCTTTTTCCAATAATTTTAATACTTCAGCAACATTGCGCGTTACAGACTTCATTTTCCTGCTTGTTTTATTGGTTGAGGCTTTAGTCTTTTGGTTTAATCGTTTGACCGGCATTTTAAGTGAACAAAGTCTTGGAGAATAGTGAGGCACGAAGGAATTGCTTTCTGATGAGCTGCAAGCCTGCAACCTGCAGCAAAGCAGCAATCTGTAAACAACTAATGATTCAATTGAGTGACTACTAATCTTATACTGTAGTCTGGACTAGGTTCTGTACGACAGTGTTTTGACTAGAGTAAGTTGCGAGTGAGTGCAATTCTATACTAATGACATAGTGGCGCAATATAGGTCCGACCACAATGCTGACCGACTACAGCAAAATGGAGATCATGCTTAACCTGCATAAACATGTTTATTTCGAATAGGAGAAACCGCGGGATATCCGTTTCTATGGTTATTATTATGATTGACAAGGTTACTGAAAACATATTGTGGACAGTGGCATTACACAGTAAAGTAGAGGCGTAAAAGACATAGCGATTAATACGTATTATAATTATATAATTAATAAAGCATTGAAGGAGAGTTGACAGAAAATAGAAACCTTCATGTAAGTTTTACAACTAGCTGCTTTTAATAATATAATAAATGATACAGTAAGAAGATTAATAGACTTACGTATGCTATGTAGACGCAGACATATGTAGCAGTTATAGGCAACTAAGTGCAGGCGCTTGTGCAACTAGAATTCAAAGACGTTTACTACACTCGGCTATGAAACATGATAGATTGCAACAGTGCCTACAGTTTCAATATTACAGAACATCAAATGACTTTTACTGTTCTAAAGTTAGTTTTGCAATATACCACTTTAATAAAACATACTAGAAGTGATACTGTAGCAGTTCCAGGCAACTGACTCTAGGAACTTGATAGAATACGATTGTAATAAAGGACTAAAAGCAGAGTCCTTTATAGCTTTTAGTATGTAACTATATTAATTTACTATGGAAAATACCTAGAAAGTGATAGTATCTTTGTCATCATCTTTTCTTCTTCACTATATATACAGTATATATATATTTTACAAGGTATTATTTAGATTGCTATGGGAATAACCTAAGAGCAATCGCCTAATCTAAAGAAAGGGCGTTTGATAGTCTGTTGAGATTATAAATGAATTTGACTTAGTAACAAAACCCTATCCATAGAGAAAGGGGAGTTATAACATGACAGTAAAGTACTGTAATACTGGCTATAATCGTACAGTTACCGTACAACTTCATGCTAAAATGTCAACTGTCAATACTAATGTCATAAAAGTGGTTATAGTTGTCATATAACATACTAATATGAGAATTTGGTTGTAAGAAATTTATTCAAAACATGTTGACAAACATGTTAGACTCGAATAGTATAAAAGGGTCTTGGAGGGAGAGCTAGAGTAACCTCTCAGTTTTGTTTTCTAGGATAGATTATAGGTCTTTTATTGCTGATCCCTAAGAACCTTCTTATATTATAATAAAGCTATTTTTAGCCTACGACGTTCTCGGTCTCGGTATTACTGTGTACGGTAGTAGAAGATTAGCTTTAGAGATTGTTAATATTACGCCTCGATTTATTACGAGAAGAAAAAATATCGCAAAGAGTGAGAGTTCGTCATGTAACTTTGTCGCGTTAATGCGGTGTGGTTACGCTCGCAAATAGGGTATATAGTGCGTATGAACACCGTTAAATTTATGTACATATTAATACAGATTAAAACGTTCGAAAATTATCCAACAGTTTGCGGTACTTTGTATATTTTCCGGTGCAACATATTCCATACACCCTTCGGTTATAATGCAAATGTGTAGATCCTATGGATTATAAATGATTCATGAAATAGGGTAGATTATCTAACTAATCCATCGTAATGCAGATCACAGTTCCAAAAGATACGCCAAGACAATGCCAGTCAAACGCTTAAATAATAAAAGAGCTGATGCTAAAGTCAAAAAAATGAAGGGAAATGGTAATACTCTGACAAATAATGTCAGGAAAATTCTAAAGGCTTTGGAAAGTGCATATAAACCACATACCAATGCGGAAAAGGCCAAAGCCATGAAGAAATACATGCGTGGCCAATTTGAATATTATGGTAAGTTTGTGCACTATATAGTATGAACGGTAGATCATAACGCACCATTTGAGTAGAAGGCATTAAATAATGTGACAGGTAAGAAAATTGACCATTATACATATAATGCTGTATACAGCAATGCAATAATAGTGTGTACCTCTACAGGATCCTAAACATATTTTTTTGCATGGTTGACATACTGTATATATGTGATTGTGTAAGAGATGGCAACAAATTGAGTATTGCCTCCCGCTATAAATCGAAATTTGCAATGAAGAACTTAGGCTACCGCGAACCTATTATTAAGTCTGTCCTTTCCAACACTTGTCTGCAGTATGATTTAAAGACTAACCATATCTACCATCAGGAACCCACAGTAGCTACACGTCTCTCTCAGTAAACTATTTGTGCAGGTCTAATCATCCTCAGATTATTGACTTGACCAATGTAGGCAGTTGCAAATGATCACACTTATTGAATAGAGAGAAAGGAACGTAATCCTTGACTTAGATCAGTTAAATGAGTGAGAGATTTATTTTTATTAATGAGGTGATCGCGTAGGCGATATTGACCTATCAATATATTTGTGTTATAGCTCAAAGTTCAATGTCAACTTGTAAAATTGATATAAGAAACGCAATACACGTTATTCTTAAAGGACTATAAGTTACTAAGACATTGCAATAACAACTTTGGGCATTTAATATAATTTAATCCATTATATTCAGGAATAAATTCTCCAGATCGTCGCAAGATCGATACAGATGTTCGAAAGACAATGCCGGATTTATCATTAACTGAACATCATCAATTACTAAATGAATTATGGGAACTACCTCAGCGTGAATACCAGGTAAGGATTGTTGCTTCTGTAGTTTATTCATATTACTGCCAGCGATCAATAATTAATTGATGCAATTACTAAATTTAACATAATTTCCGTTGATTAGCATTTTGGAGCTGAACTTGCTAGAGACTCTGTAAAAATTTTAACAGGTGATTCCGATCAAGATTTAAGAGAAAGTGTTACCGTTATTGAAAATATGATAATCAAAAAATCATGGTGGGATTGTGTTGATCTTCTAGCGCCAAGAGGTTATAAATTACTGTAACGTCTTTACTAGCTGCTTTAAATCATAAATTGACAATAATCATAAAAATGTAACAGGATTAATAAGACTACTATAAAAATGCAATTTCTGAAGGGCTTACAGAATCTTGCAGGTAAAATTTTAAATTTCTTCTGCTTTAGTTATTGGTGAATTCAATAGAATCCAGCCTGAAGTTATGGGTCCTATTCTAGATAAATGGATTACTGATGATAATATCTGGCTTAAACGAACTGCTATTCTACATCAGCTATTCTATAAAGAAAATACTAATCAAGAGAAATTGTTTAGATACAGCCTTGCATGTGCTAAAGAGAAGGAATTTTTTATTAGAAAAGCAATAGGCTGGGCATTGAGAAATCAATTTCGAGTCAATCCGTCAGCAGTTAAGAAATTTGTTAAAGAAAATGATAATAAGTTGTCTTACTTAACCAAAAAGGAGGCACTAAAACATGCTTAACAGCTAGCCATACAGTCGATTTCGTACATTTTAATGATTTGCACACGCTATGATGTTTAAATGTAACATGAGTGCTAACGCGATATCAGTACTGATTTAGAAAGCCAAAAATGTGTATATATATGTATACTCTAATTGCTGCTGATACTAAAATTATTTATCTCAATCGATACTACCAATTTTAACTGCTGCTTTTGCAAAATCCTTCAGCTCCACTAGATCAATTCATATAACATCTACTTAATAAGATTACGTCCTGAAATGTTCCTGATAATCTGTAATATTAAGATGGACCGTTAAACTTGTTTTCTACTATTTAAAACAATTACTGGTCTAGTGTGCTCCTATTTTTATATTTGAAACATTTGAATCTAAATGTACAGCGACTTGAACTATAAGAGATTCTGTTTCTGCTATTGGAGCAACTCACTCACGGTATGAGATTGAAATTTATTAAACTTCTTCAATGCCTAGTAAGTAGGTTTTACTCAACAAAGATCTTGTACATCAGCAATCACGATATTTCGATTTATTGTACTATTTGAAATCATGTTTCTCTAAATATTTTTTGTGGATTTGATACCTGAATAGCTATTAATGCCATACTGCAATTACTTAATTAACATTACTACAAATCAAGTACTTTATTATCGCGGTGTCAAGGAGCTACAACTAGACCATTAACCGGATACAAACATAAATTGTGATCTTAGACAACTGTAACAAAGTATGGTGCGTTCCTTTTCTGACTTAGCATTTGTGCCATGTTCTGTAAATATGAATTTCAGTCTTTAAAGCTATCCAGCTGCCCTTCATTCAACGCCCAACAAAGCAGATGGGCTAACCTAGCATTTTTACCACTATTTGAATGAGTTTTATAGCCCTGAAGTTCTTAACATTCTGGTCAAATTAACCTAAGTAATAAGTAATAATTACACCTCCTCAGATGATTATGTACTGTGATTACTTTTACTCGATAGAGAGCTTAACAAAGAGTTTTATGTAGTCTATTACACTTTTATTATAAATAACCTTAAAGGCATTATCGTGTTATATAATCAGAACGAGTAAGTATATCTGAATGTGATGTTGAAAGTGCATTAATCAATTAATAAGTAAAAGATGTAGTAAGATATACAATTAAACCGATCTTATAAACAACAGAATCACTGAAAATATCGGTAAAAATTAGTGGATATTACTTTGCACTACTAATTCAAACAACCTGAGCATCTACCACGCTGCTAAACACGTATAAAAGTACAATTACAATACTGCATTTATATTATCGGATTAAGATAGCTCATTTTAAGAATAAGAAAATATATCATGGTAAAGATATGAAATAAACATATGAAGATGTTACTGGCAAGTGTCGATAACAATATCGAAAAACTGTTATGATAGCTATGTCAAGAATTGACGATTGCATATACCTATAATGCCAATTATAATAACAACAGAAAATTTCCCAGTAATTACAGCTAGGTTTATTTTTTTCCTGACCCTTTTCATATTTGAAGATGTAAGTCGCCACAAGCATAAGATGAACGACCAAATCGAAGCCCTGGTAGACGATGCCATTTCTTTTCAACAAGATCAAATGCATCGACATTGGTTAAATTATGTTTTCCATCATTGCCACCAATAATAATATAATAATTACCAATAACTTTAGCTTGGCAATTATCCCTGCGGGACGGCATTTTGGTTAATAATTTCCACTTGTTAGTTCTAATATCGTACCATTCAACAGTATCTAGTTTTTGTACACCATCAAAACCACCAGCTACAATAATATAATCATGCCACGTTGCTGCAGCTGGAAAAGTACGTGGTTGACACATTTTATTTAATATTTTCCATTGTGGTTTCTCCCAAGCTTTATGACTAAGTTGATACGATTCTACACTGGATAATGGTAGTCCATCATGCTCACCTTGTCCACCAACAACAACTAAGTGATTCTTGGTGGTGACACAAGCAGATCCGTAACGTCTTGAAATCATAGCTGGCAGGGAAGTCCGACTCCAGACACCAGAGTTATAGAAATAAACTTCAACTTTCTTCAATGCTTCGGTCCCTTTTAAACCTCCAACAATAATCAGTCGATTATTCCATACGCAAGAACAGCTGTATTTCTTCGGTTCTTTCATGCATTCTAAAGTATCCCATTTCATCGTTTTTAAATTGCAATAGCGCGTACGATTGCTTAAGCCATCTGTTTCAACAAATCCACCACAAACAATAAATTTATTAGTTAGAATACCACCACTAGCACCATAACATCCTGCTTCCATAGGGTAGAGAGTAGTCCATGAAATTGTAGTAGAATCAAATACTTCTACATGATTACACAAGTACCCGTCATTAATTCCACCAGCAATGAAAATATGATGATTCTTTTCTAATTCGATCTCGGAGTTAATATTACTTTTCGAATTATCTGCTTGCTGATTATTGTCTCCTCTTACATTCATGACTTTTATTTGATCCTCTATCTCTACGGTTGGATAGAAAAAGGCAAAGAAATTAATTCGAAATAAAATAGTTTAACCTTAGAGTAAAATAGCGAATGGGACTATAATATAGGATAATTAATTATAATTTTAAATAATCATCTTATAATTCTTGAAGCTGCTGCATGATATTCTAGCTCCAATTGTAAATTATTATCAATTCCAATTATGTTATTTGCATGATAATAAGACATATTTTGCGTTAATTGCACAAATATATCAATACTGCATATTGTGAATTAACATCTTATTCCTCATATAATAACTTTCTACATTTGTACCAATAAATGATCAGACACAGTTCCTCATATTACAAAATTTCGCTATATAACCGGGCTATAATATGTCTCAACTCAATATCATGCCGTTTATATCGTAATATCTTATAGAATATCTTTAAATTTGCTTTAAGTATTATAGACCGACTATATATCGTAAATCGATGTCTTTGCCCTTCATATGATAACTTTCTGCATTTACATTCACAAATGATCAGACACAGTTCTTCACTCAGCAAGATTTCCGTTATACGGTATAGGTATAATGTATCATAAATCAAAATCATGGCGTTTTATAACGCAACATCTTAAATTAATTATATCTATGAATTTGCTTTAAATTTCATATAACTACCGGTACAGAATATCGCCAAGCTATATCCTACTCTTTATAGGATACCGCTAACTGTTTATATTAGTGTCAAATAAATGATACGATTTGCTTTAAACGTCATGTAGCTACTGAATATAGAAAAATCCATATCTTATCCTTGGTAATATAACTCTTTATATTTGTATCAGTAAGACAATTAAATTTAGTTTCTCATATAGCAAAATTTTCGCTATGTAGTACGAGTATAATATGTTAAAATCAAAATTATATCGTCTATACCATAATATCTTACAGAACATCCGTGGATGATGGTGTAAAGACTACATCAAGATAATTAGATCAGTCTGCCTGATATGGTAACGGAAACAACAAATTTTCTGTTATATTTGAAAACATACAAGTGTTCGTGTCATAATAGGTCTCACTATTGGGTATCATGGTGTTCACATGACAAAATCTTGCGTATACTGTACGTCTATAAAATATCTGTGTCTTTTCATTAAGATGATCGAATATAAATTTTATCCAAAGGAAAAATTTCCTCTAGAAATTTTTGCTATAGTAAATTTTCATTACAGGTATCATGCGAAAGATACGAAGGCTGTGGTTCTGATCGTCTTAGACCTTATTAAAGTTAAGCAAATCTGTAATTCTTTTCAACAGGTGCTAGTATTCAATAGCTATATTACAGTTATACTTTCGACATGATCAATTCTTTACCTCTAGGTGATACTTGCTGGCTTGTAGTTTTGGAGTCATTATCGGTATTACCCTGCCATGGGAGGATAGACTGGCTATCTTCGGGATCATGGATATTACCATCATGATCTGATTGGTTTGTAGCAAATAACTCTTGTAATTCAGGACAGACTGTCAGCAATGCTTCGATAAAGATGGATAGCTTCTTATTGGATTTGCTGACAGCTAAATCTAGAATTTTACTTGCTTGAGCCGCAGGTGTAGATTCCCCTTTAACCTGTTGACAGTCTTTGATAGCAAAAAATTTCTTATTATACAACTGTGTTATACCAGGTAAGATATTTTTCTTTAGACAATTGATCAATCGAATTCGATGGCTAGATATTATCGACACAGTCTGATCACGATCCATACTCAAATCTTCTCCTCAAATTAATAAATTATTTCTTTACATCAATATTATAGATTGATAATCTTTTACACTATCGAATTGAACTGCACCCAAATGAGAATGATTACGATAGACAAGATTAACGAGTTACTATAGATTGTACTACCAACTGTGCTACCCATACATTATTTATCAAATCAATATCAACTAATAAAAAAGTAAATTATGGTAACTAGGTAACAAAGGATAACTTATTCTTTTGTCGCCTTTTGTCTACAAATTAATTAATTAAAATTAATTACTGTTTAGTGATTAATTGAAAATAGAGTCCATACAAATTCATTGTATGATTGGTTCTATTGCAACATAAATCGGCTAATCCGATGGGTTTTTATATTAGAACTTGTAGACGTTTATACGGTTTTTACTTGCATCTAAAAAATTGGTGGTATTTAACTGATAGTATACCTGATTCGACCTAAAATTTAAGTCAATGTTATTTCTATTGCATAGAAGCGTAAGGAATTTCGAGTTACTAGATGGATATTGTTTATATTTGGATTCTAATGCATTTTTTTTTTAATCTGAGATCGCCATAGTGCATCTACTGATATTCTTGTATGATTTAAGGTTATATTATAGCTTCTGAATAAGTAAGTATGTGCAAGGTTTTTTCGAATTTGGATAACTTGGGCATTTGACCTATTGTGCATTTAATTCGATCTAAAAATTGAATTAATATTATTTCGAAGTCATAATCATGCATATGTGTAAGCTTCGCGCTGCTGGATGAGCACCTTCTAATTGTATTTTTCTTCAAACCTGAGATAGATATAGCGTATCAACTGTCATTATTATACTATTGAAGATTATAATAGAATTTTTATATGTTTTGTAAAATTTTTGTATTTGACCTACTTTACAGCCAGTTCGATCCAGAAAACGAAATCAATTTTATTACGAGTAAGTGCCATGCAATGCATAAACTTTGAGTTTAAGGTTTGAGTTTAAGGTTGGATTATAATGCATTTTCTTCAAATTTAGATAGGCATAAGACACTACTGCTATTTATAAATCTTTTAAGTAGTATATCAATATTAGTAGCAGGCGGGGATTAGAAGCAGAAATAAATGTTATTGAAAGAATATAATCAATGAATGTAATTATCGATTAATAATATGTAAATTATTAATACTTATATATACGTATGCATGTAATATCTCTCTCTATATATATAATTAGGCAGTTAAAATACGTAATTAGGAAAAATTATCAGTCTTATGGAATGAGCAGAAAATAAATTTAATCTATTTATCCAATTGATTATAATCAATGTAATCTATACATGCATACCAGATTGAAGTAAATTAACAGAAATAACAGTATCCATACACTATCCTTCC